GAACTGGAACCACCTACACTGTCACCTGCGTGCGTGAAAAATTTAACCGCAGCGGCTACGATGTTGGGCAGGACCTGCGTCTTTTGCATTTTCCTCTGCGACCGCGCACCGTCGCTTTTTTTAAAGACGGCCGGCGTCTATCCCTTTATGCCCCTGGATCGACCGTGCCGTTTACGACGTTGTTGGCCAATGAGACAATCCGCAACCGAGCTTTCAGTCCTATGCTGTCTCCTGTGGGCTACCCGTCGCACAGCGATTCATTACATATAAGGCGAATGGAAGATCTGCGTAGGCGCATCCGTCGGACAAACCACACTTCCATCTACGGCAACCACTTCACGCTCGGTCTGCCATTCTTCAACACACATGAGACTGTCGCCCGCCCAGACAACCCGGATTTGGACATCACTCTGCCCGAGGTGGAATGTTTGACACACATGCTCTGCGTTGGTACGGCGAAGATCCCAACGCTTCGAATCCACACCGCGGGCGGTGTCGTGACTGAGACCGGTCCACAGGTGCTGACGATTGTGCAAATCCGCAAGCGCGTCCTCTACGATCTCTGTCCACATATTAGACAAAGGGATGATTTGCCCACCTTGCCCCGACCACCGCGAGAGCACCGGAGAAGACGACATGTGAATATCCATCTGCATCCCAACGCTGAAGCCATCCCCAACGTCATTATTGCCCCTGAAGTCGGAGACGATGACGACGATGTCGGCAATAACATCGACAATGAGTCCGAACCAGACGTCGACATGCTCTCCGATACAGACGTCGACGACGCAGATGCCGAGGTTTTGGAGGGGACGGATCTGCGCGTCGTGGCAAGATTGTGGGGATGGGCACCTCATTGCTCGACACTAACGGGACAAGACACTATATGCATATCGCCCAGAGGAGAGAGGATCGCGGTCGCGCAATGGGATCGGGTGCTTGTTTATGCATTGAACCCGGGGGAGCTTTGCGACGAGGCGTGGGACGAGGGCAATGAGAGTGACGACGCCATCAGTGAAGAGGATGGTACTTCAGAGAGCGGCAGCGACAGCGAGAACGACGACGACGACGACGACGACGACGGCGGCAGCGTGATGAGTGGAGTAGAAGACGTAGTCAGTGCGGCCGAGAACCAGGACCCTGGGAATGGCAATGCAAATGACAACCCCAACGACGGAGCTCAACATCCTCTCGCACCTTCAGAGCATTCACCGGCCATTTCGAATCCTGGCATGGTTCCTTCGCCTGTAGAACCACCGAAACCAGCCGAATCTGTCGCCTCAAGCACATCCACGTCACTCTCAGGCTTATTGAGCTTCTACCCGCACGTGAAGGACAACTTCCTTGGTGGAGGGGTGGTTGAGCTCCGTCCGATCGTGTTGAAGATGGATGGTGGAGCGGTCGTACGGAAGATGAGCTGGGCGTTAGGGAGGCCCGTCCGAGTTGACGAGGATCGTACTGACGACACAGGAGAAATGTACCACAAGGGCGAAGAGATAAAAGGAGTGGCAGCTGAAAAGGGGGGCACTGTGAAAGAGAAGGAAAAGGAAGAGGACGCTGGGGCCTTAGCGAGCAACAATGCAGCACGGCAGAGGGGAGACACTGAAGGTTGGCGCAATGACAATACCAGAGCATCAGCGGATGTTGGAAGGTCCAACCCCCCCGATCGACCTCAGGCGTCTGAGCCAGTACAATCCCAGGACCAATCATCACCGAAGTCAGATTTGCAGACTGAAACCCTTTCAAAGAATACCTACATCAAGGTCCAAGAAGACGGAACGAGCATTCTCCCTAGTGAAATACCACCAGCACCGTTTTCGGATGCCAAATTGACCGGACAGATCAAACATATTGCTCATCCTCCTGACCATCACAGTTCTCCAAGCGTAGTATTCCTTGGTCCTCCTCCTGAGCTAAGACCTCCAAGTCCAGCTGGGGTAGACTTAATCAAAGACAAAGAAACAGAGTCGATGGAGACATCAACTGGGGAAGTCGGGAAGCGGTCTCAAGATATGACAACAGATCACGAACAGGCAGGGCCTTCGGCCGCGGAGCTTTCTGAATCGTTAGCCTCCGATTCGACGCCACCATACAAGCGCAAAAGGGAGCCGCGGAAGAGGGTGGCCGAGAATGAGCTAATCGTGTTGACTGATAGAGGGTTGCAAATCTGGGATCTCAGTGTCTGGGGGAAAGGCGGGCGAGTGCGTTGCGAGCTTCCTGGAGATGATATTCCGCTTTAGCTGCGGCAGGATTATTTGAGCATCGGTCTGGCGAATATGCTTCTTCCTAACCTGAAAAGCTGAAAGGACGAAATTGATTTGCTTGGTGAGTTCCGTAACAATGGAATGGGTACAGTTCTCGTAGACATCGATGCTTTCACCAGGTGCAACTCGCTCAAAGCCGATTCGAGGCGCTTTGGATTGGTTCGGCATATCCCTTGCAGTCAATAACAAGAATTTGCCAAAGATTTGTCGGAGTGTCATGTTCCCATACATTCGCTTTGGCCGGCCCAGAATAACAGTCCCAGTGCTGCGAACGTGGAGGATGCTTGCCCAAAGGATTCATTTCTCTCCCCCTCCTCCACCAGTCATCATCAGCATGGTGGCTATCAAAAACACCCACCAGTACTTCTGGAAGAAGCTCTTCTCTTGTTGTTCTTCCTGCGCAATCTCTCTGCCTTCGGCATCGACCTGAGGAGGTTTCCTCGTTGCGAAATCAGGAGAGGGGCCGGGGCTGGAGGAAATAAGATTGACTTTAATAGGCTCGTGCAGGGCTGCTGCTTTCGCCGCTTCTTCTCTTGCTTTCTTTGTATTCGGAACTGGAGGCGGGGGTGGTATTGGCCTTCCCTTTGCCTTGGCTCTCGCTACTTTCTTCTTGTAGCGTTCTTCTTCTGCGGACAATGGGGGTGGTGAAAGGCCGGAAACCGAAGCAGAGAAGACCGAGCCATCATCTGGAGATATCCAGAGGTCAATTTTCTGGTGAGCATCATCGCTGAACGTGCCGAGAGTTGTTATTGTAGAACTGCCATTCGGCAAAAGAATTCGGAGCAACTTCGAGGAAGTGGGTTCGGGAGTGGTAGACTTGAGCGAGTCGAGAGACGGAGGAGTCCATGAGGACAGAGCATGCTTGGAGGTTTTGGGGTCGTAAAAGATAGTGACGAGCGGTTTGACTGAGGCAGAGCCGATCAATTCATACGAAAGAGTGACAGACTTGGGCAGCTTGGAGGCTGCCGCATCACTTGCAGCCAGGACGGTGCAGGCACAAACGGCCAGCAGCACCAGCAGGAAGCTGCGAAAGGCCATCTTTGGCAGCTGCAGCACAACAGGAACCTTTGCGACGATGACAGGAATTTATCTACCTTCGCATTCATTCCACTCATCTCTTCGGTCCTGACCATCGCCAACCCGCCGTTTATTGCAAAGGGCAACTCAACCGAATACGAGGCGACACGAGGCAGTTCAAATTCAACACGGAATTTACTGCTTGTTTTCCTCTCTACTCTTCAGTGAGTCAAGATGTAGTCGCCATGGACTTCCTCCAGGGTCTTTCTGGACCGGGAGGGTCTGACTTCTTTTCCTTAGATCTCTCAGACTCTGACGACATGGCGTCAAGCACCGGCAAGGCCGAGACGACCAGCGACAAAGACAAGCTTCATCCTGAAGTCGTCAAGAACCTCGAGCTCCATCAGGGTTTCATGCGTCAAGCAATTGATGTCGCCGAAGAAGCTCTCAAGGGAGGTGAAACGCCTGTCGCCTGTGTTCTCGTCCATGAGGGCAAAGTCGTTGCTCGAGGCATGAATGACACCAACCGATCTCTCAACGGCACTCGACATGCCGAGTTCCTTGCCATTACACAGTTTCTCTCCAAAATGCCAGCGGCCAAGCTCAAGGAGACCGATCTCTACGTCACCGTTGAGCCATGCATCATGTGTGCTTCGGCCTTGAGACAATATGGCATTCGCTGCGTCTACTTCGGATGCGGCAACGATCGATTTGGCGGGAATGGAAGTGTGCTCCCGGTTCATTCTGACAAGGGTCTTGAGGAGGGCTATCCAAGCTATGGAGGGCTATTCCGGAAAGAAGCTATTATGTTGCTGCGTCGGTTTTACATTCAGGAAAACGAGAATGCCCCGAACCCTCGAGCCAAAGGCAATCGAGAACTGAAGCCGGTGGTCTAGATGATGGGGAACGCGTGGCCATCGACACAGCCATCTAACTCCACGAGAAGGCCGCATTGTCTGGACAGGGGATGGGTCACCGGCATTGTGGCCTGCGGGTCATGAACAAGTGGCGGGCAATAGTTCTTTCTGGCGTTGATAGCAACTGGGCCGGCCTCTATTTTGTATCACAAATTTGACTGGAGGGAATCGCCAGACACGCCTCTCGGTGACGAGAAAGGAAGTCGAATTCAGAGATGATTCCTTGCTACGACTGAACCATTCTGTCAACTAGTTCAGGACAACCATTCACGTACCAGCCTTGTTATAAATACGACATGTTCGAGAAGTGTCATTACTTGGCTGTTCTTTTCTACTTCATTAAGGACCTATCACACGGGAAATATGCGTGTACCAAGTATTATGATAGCCAGGATTGAAGAGACTTCGTTGTGACATGGTGAATAGATTGCAGTCAGGAGATGTCGGGAGGACTCGAGCGCTTTGTGTCACGGATGTGTGCCGAGTACATGCTGCTTAGTCACGCGGAATGTCTGGCTGCGCTGTTGGCACGTCCAATAACCAAAACAATCACTGCGCTAACAACTTTTTTTTGGAGACCACACGCACTGCTCGCCTCACTGCTTCTCACCACTGCCTCACGGCTGAACTGCCTTGGTCCTGTCCACGCCCTCCTCACAAAGGCCTCATCTTTTTCTTGTGATTCCATCTTTCCTTAAAAACATACACGATATCGGATCTCTCTGCTCTGACTAACTCCTCGACTTTCTTTGCATTTGTGGGCCAGTTCGAGTTCCCCGTCGCGTCAACGACCATGTCAAAGATGTCTGGCACTCGTGCTCGAAAGGCCGCAGCCACAAAGGCAACCAAAAACATACCAGAGAAAGCGAAACAGGTCAAGAAGGCGGAGCTACAAGAGGCCAACTCGAGCAAGCAATCAACCGCCCCTTTGAAGGCATCCCCCAAAGCTACCGCCAAAGTCCCTGAAGCGCCTGCGAAGAAGACAAGCAAGCGGAAGGCCGAAACAGAGATCGAACATGAACCTCAAACCAATGGTGTCAAGAGAACGAAAGTCGTTCCTGCACCCGTTTCACCCGTCTCCCCCAAGCGAAAACCTGCCGCTGCAGAAAAACCAGCGGCAGCTAAAAGGACCAAGACAACAAAGGCAGATATCAATCACCCTCCGACTGAGAAATTGAATGTCTATGTGTTTGGAGAAGGCTCTTCTGGGGAACTCGGCCTCGGAAGCGCCAAGGGCCAGACAGAGGTGAAGAGACCGCGTTACAATCCGAATCTCAGCCCGGATGGCATCGGAGTGGTGGCCTTGTCTGTCGGCGGGATGCACACTGCGGCTCTCACCCATGACAATAAGATTCTGACCTGGGGCGTCAACGACCAGGGCGCTCTAGGTCGAGACACTGCCTGGGAAGGGGGTCTCCGTGATATTGATGAAGATGCTAGTGACTCTGATTCGGATAGTGGTTCGGAGACAGCCGTCAACCCCAAAGAGTCCACTCCGGGCGAGGTAGACCTCTCAGGCGTTCCAGAAGAGGTTATCTTCACCCAAGTCGCCTGCACCGACAGTGCCACTTTTGCTCTCACGTCTCAGGGCGACGTGTACGGATGGGGGACATTTCGCTCGAATGAAGGCATTTTTGGCTTCGACCCCACCACGCTGATACAGCTTCGACCAAAACTCATCAAGGGCCTGAGCAAAATCACCCAGCTTGCAACTGGTGCTAATCATGTCTTGGCCCTACAGAACAATGGCGCGGTCTTCTGCTGGGGTTCAGGGCAACAGAATCAACTGGGCCGAAGGATACTGGAGCGGAGAGCTACAAACAGTTTGATACCGACAGCCATTGGCACACTCAAGAAGATCGAATACGTTGGGGCTGGCGCCTACAATTCCTTCGCTGTAAAGTCGAACGGTGACGTTTATTCCTGGGGCCTCAACAATTTCGGTCAAACCGGAATTCCCAAAGATTTCGACGAGGCCGGTAATAGCAAAGGCAACGATGTGCATATGCCTATTGTTGTTGAGGCGCTTCGCGGCAAATTCGGCAAAGTTACATGTATTCAAGGAGGGTCTCATCATACTGTGGCGGTCACCGATAAATACGAACTGCTGGTCTGGGGGCGGATCGATGGACATCAGTCGGGTTTGAAAGTCAAGGACCTTCCAGAAGACGATGTTGTGCGCGATTCGGCTGGCCACCCACGAATTTTGGTTGTGCCAACCCAAATCCCCGATATTGAGGCTCTCATGGCTGCAGCTGGATCTGACCATTGCATCGCCATTGACAAGAATGGCAAGGCGTATTCGTGGGGGTTCAGTACAACGTACCAAACAGGCCAGGGCACTTCGGACGATGTGGAACTTGCAACTCTAATCGACAATACAGCTGTCAGAGACAAGAAACTCGTTTGGGCTGGTGCGGGCGGTCAGTTCAGCGTGATTGCGGGATTTCCGACGCCCTTGGTTAATGGTGTAAACGGACATGCTGCGTGATTGCAGGAGGATGTCAGCTCGCGAGACATCACAGGGTGAAAATGAGACCATTTGCAAAACTTCGGTTTATCACGGCGTCTTGAGCAAAAAGGTTTGCGATATTCAATTGGGACGACGCGCAAAGACACAAATTTTCTCTCCAAATTTTCTTGGGGGCAATCTTCTGTATTACGGCATCGGGATCATATCCTTTGTACAACAATAATCTTCAAGCCCGGTGGTTTGGAAGCGGTTTTATTCGTGCTGGGCCCAAGTGAGACGTGAGAGTAATGTCTTTGGATGGGGAGACCGAATGAGTCGGTATGGTTGGAGAGGATCGCATATCAGGTCTTGATCGGCACGGGTATGATGCGGATGGGTTCTTTGATGGACATTGTATTTGTATGGGCGCACAATTGGTCGGTCTGGTCAAAGCGTTTTCAAGGCTTGGGAAGAGTCGACAACAGGATAGAGGTCAAAGGTTGAATTCAGTTCCAATTTCCTTCTCCTCCCACTTTTCTATCTGACTTATTACTCCTACTTCCCTCATCCAGGTTCCCCCTTCAACTGTCCCTCGGCAATCTCGTCCGATCAAAGGCCGATCCGCTCGGTTTATGGTCGCAGGTTTAACCGACGAGCACGACCGAAAATGCCCAGCAGCCAGCTACCTAATGGGCCTGCCCCTCGCGTTCGTCTAATGCTTTTCGCTCATCCACCTAGCAGTCCCCTCATCTCACTGTGATGGCATTTGCTATTGACACAGGAGGAGAGGGAGAACGCTACCGACTGTGCCCCCTCACCATTTCCCCCTCCCCCTTTTTGCGCCTGATGATGTGCCGAGCTTCAGGGAATGATGCGTGGGTTTCTCGGGCAGTTACCGTGCAAACAGAGGCTGCGAAAGGAGAGGAAAGGGGAGAAAAACAAAATGAGAGGGCGTGCGTGCGTCTATGGATCACTTTTTCTCCAATTCCCCCATGGCCTTTTTCGGTTCACACTCACATATATGTACTGTGTATGTAAAGTTTCAGAAGAACAACCAAGGAAGAAACTTCATCGCTTGTCTATTATCCTGGTAAACAGAGAGAGCTTTACGATCACCGCAACCACCAACGCCATCATCTTACATAAAAAGACGTTTGAAAGCGTCTTTATCACATATTCCGTACACAGCCTAACTGTAAAGTAAGATTTACAAAAAGAAAGGAGAAAAAGATCCAAACAAAAACAAGAAAAGAACAAAAACAACAACAAACATGAATGCACCACCCGTTCCTTTCTCCTCGCTCCCGCTCAACAAGTCCAACGCGTCGGCGCGACTCAATGCCTGGGGCGCGCACGGCGAGACGGACGAGCTGGGCTTCCTGAACCGCCAGACGCCGCTGAGCGTGAGGGTGGCGGCGCTAGAGATCCAGACGGGCGTGCGCGTGTCGCTGGACGCTCCCTTGGACTTCCAGGGTCAGAAGCCGCTGTTCGGGAGACAGGTGTTCGTCAAGGACGTGTACCAGAAGAAGCCGCGGATCGTGCACGACGACACGTGGTCGTTCAACACGCAGAGCTCGACGCAGTGGGACGGACTGCGCCACTTCGGGTACCAGAAGGCTGGACTGTTCTACAACGACACGACGGTCGAGGACATCGCGGGGACGTCGGACAAGGGCGCCAAAAACCCAAACATTCTGGGCATCCACAAGGCCGTCGAGCGCGGCGGCATCATGGGCCGCGGCATTCTTGTGGATTTCCGGCGCTGGCTTGAGGAAGGGCCCGGGAAGGACATCGTCAAACCCGGCGAGTTCAAGCAGTTCGAGACATCGGCCATCAAGTTCGAGTGGATCCTCGAAACGCTCAAGTGGCAGAACAACACGACGCCGCGCTTCGGCGACATCCTGATCGTGCGCTCTGGCTTCTTCAAGTCATACTACTCGATGATGTCCACGCCCGAGGGGCAGGCCGAGATCCAGCGCCTGACCTCCATGTCGCCTCCCGGGCTGGGGGGTGTCGAGCAGTCCGACGAGGTCCTCAACTGGATCTGGGACAACTTCTCCGCCGTCGCCAGCGACCACCCTTCCTTCGAGCGCTGGCCCTCCCCCTTTGACTGGAGCATGCACGAGGTCCTCCTCGCCGGCTGGGGCTGCAACATCGGCGAGTTGTTGGATCTCGAGGCCCTCAGCAAGGAATGCGCCAAGCAGAACCGCTGGACCTTCTTCGTCGCCAGCGTCCCCTGCTACGTGCCCGGTGGTGTCGCCAGTCCGGTCAACGGTGTTGCTATTTTTTGAAAAGCTGTGCCTCCTAGCGATGGGCGGCGCCAAGTGAGGTGTCTGCTGGAGCAGGTGACGAGATTCTGGATGAATGATCTCCACAATGGGGGAGTGCGTATGCAGATCGGCTAAGAGAGATGACTGCGAGACGGGACCAAGACCTCGGCCAGAGCAAGCAGCTAGCGAAGAGGGCCCCACGACGAGGAGGGAGAGGGAAGGAGAGAAAGATTGAGCGGTAGGGGCACTTGCTGAAATCAATTAAGCTTAGAGTACAAGACAGGGATGTGGATGGTAGCGCGGAGATAGTTCACCAGATCTATATTGACTCGAATTATGGATGATGTTGATGAGTACAAGTACAAGTACAGATAATACATCCAGCCGACTGACAACGGGTAAATACTTCAGCCGGCGACAAAAAAAAGACCGAGCAGAAAGTCGCCCAACCATATTACATATGGGACTGGAAAACTTGCAGTTTGGCCGTCGCTGCTGATTTTCAATCTCGATATCATGAACTTGACAAAGTCCACCTTTGCAATCGAAAAGTTTCCTCCACGACATGTTCCCAGTCCAAGAGAAACACAAAAACAAAGACGGTAACATATCGGCGGTTGAGGCTCCCTGCCGTCGTTATACATCATGTGCCAATTGACAGCTCAAGTATCCAGTACTGCTGTCGAACGCTGCATGGCAGCTTCAAGCGCAATTTGCAAAATTGATGACCGAATCCAGTAACGTTGACCTCTCCTGTGGAGGTTTGGGGATGACCACACTCTTGGCGTTCACACCGAATTCCTCCTTTCCAACCATTCCATCAACATCCGGTGCTTGTGATCCTCATAGTTCTGAGCACAGGTTGCTGGCTTGGTGTACCTTCTCCAATAGGTTTTGGCCGGACGCTCAAACTGCATCCCAAAGGTGGATGGTGACTGGCCATGGTATAGATCTGCCTGCGGCGTCATAGGACACTGTGGAGGCTCAGTTTCAGGGGGGGAGAGGTAACCCTCAACTTTTGCCTCGTTGGCAGCAGGCCCAGGGCGAGTCGCATGAGGGCCATATAGGCGGTGACGAAGTTCCCTCCACGGCGGGAATGGGGGAAAGTGAGACTTGGGGCCTGGAGAGCCGGAATGAGAGCGTGCTGGGCTGAGCGGACAAAACGGACTGTATATCCTGTGGGGCGGAGTCTCAGTCTCTTTTCCGGATACTGGTTCTGTTTCGGTTTGGGTGCCTTCTGAGACCAGAGCAGTGGTGGTAGCCGCCGTGGTGACTCCAGAGGTCACGGTGGGTTTGGCCTCGTGGGAGACGAGAGAAACATCAGGCTCTGGCTCTCCCGGTGTCTTGTCAGCGATATCTTCTTCGTCGTCGTCTTTGTCTGCGAGCGGATGACAGTCTGGCGCAGTAACTATTACGGGGATTTCAACCATTTTTGGTATATCTGGGGTTGGTTGCATCATATCATTTTTCCAAGCTCCGATCATCGACGCCAGCAGCTGGGTTAATATTTTTATATGTCTGGGGATGAGCAAACATGATTGGAGAGAGACATTTTTGCACGGCTACTTTTGCCGCCAGGGAAGTAGCTGGACGGTAGTGGATGGCAACGGGAATGAATACGCATCCACTTCACGAGACGAATGCTCAAAGTGCCACAGGGCAGAACCGGCTGCGTATGGCCATTGGACACGCCATGTGGCACAGCCCACCGAGGAACACATCACTTGATTGCTGAGTGCTGTCGGAGGATCCAGGCATCCGAAGAAGCTTCTATGAATGAGGCCACGATATTGTGCAGTGGGACATCCAATGTGGTGAAGTGGGCGTGGGCCACTGGAGGGGAAAACACTCACACCATCAGCAGTTTTTCCGATAGGCCACAATCCAGGCTGCAAGGGCGACGTGAAGTTTAAGCCGTCAGATGATTGCAAGAAAGCGCGGAGACGATGCTAAACCCTCGGATTCAGATGTTGAAGTGAAATGGAGAGGCACAAATCCGGGGTATCGATGGTTCCAGACGAAATTGGTGCCACATCCTGGGATATCATATGCACGATATGGCGCCATTGACGAAAGCAGGGGGGACTGGGATCATCAAGAACACAGAAGTCATAGTCGGAAGTATGTTTCGAGATGCGGCCATTTTCATCACGTAGCACAGACAATACCTCCCCTGCATGGTGTCGAGGTAGCAGACGCAACAGTCGGGTGATGTGTGGCGATACCGTGATGATGGTCGATGGGAAATTCGGGGGTGGACAGAGCGACACAGGCAACTCGGATGGGATTCGATGGCCGAGAAAAATAACAGACGGAACAGACAAACAAGAGGTCAGCATTTCTAGCGCGCGATAATGGAAGAGGGAAAGGCTGGCAAAGCCCAGGCTTCGAGGCCAGTCGATGATAGCCATCACACCACCCCTGTGAATTTCTCCGTATACGGCGGTTTCCGGTAGCCTGAGCACAGCAACCCGAAACATCTCGTCAGCCAGTTACTAGTCTGAGCAGTATCCGTGTCGTGGATGGCTCACTTCTGGATGCTACAGAGACATATTCAGCCATTATCGAGGGAGATTCCGAACATAAAAATGGATAGAAGCACGCTGCCCATCACCGAGACCAGATCACAATCGACTACATTGTCTATTGCATCGTTGACCAACACCAAAACACCAAAACCACCACAAACACCACCGACAAAGCTGAACCCTGATTCAAGATGATGTCCCACACAGCATCGGTACGTGAAACCTCCGAGACGCCCAATTAGCTCCCTTATGGGGATTCAATGGCTGACCCCTATCTTGCAGAGTAGTGTCACTGAACACCGAGAAACGCCACCGGTGCCTGCTGAGGTCAACAACACGGCCTATGTGCCCAACTACAATGAGACCGACTACAGCGACTTTCTGTACCTGGCTCCGCCTCTGTCGTCAGAGTTCCTCCCCCTGGAACCTACAGACAACAAGGCTGCTCGCACCATGGTCAAGAAGTCCAAAGTCCGGCCTACCGAGACATTTAACACTGGCACCACACCTCCGCCTGCCACCCCGGCCGATGAGAAGCCGTATGCAAAGGCGACATTCCCGCCGGACGAGGCCCAATCGGCGGCCGCAGACGAGATGGCAAAGGCTGCCGAGAGACGGGAGCGGAGACCCAGCTTCGTCGAGGTCACGCCCGTCAAGGTCCACCATGAGCACGACAAGCACCACAAAGACGTCCAGGGCCACCACCACGCACAGAGAAGGCGGTCCTCGCACGAGTCGGAGCCGATGAGCTGGTGGCCCGAGAACGAGACCACGGCACAGCACGAGTGGGTAGAGCAGAACGAGGAAGAGGATGTCATTGAGGACGACGTCTGGAGTGATGCATTTTACGAGTAATAATGCCTTGTTCCTTTTCATCATCCTCATATCCCCCCCCTCGCCCCCCCTCCGAAAGCTCCCCCAGCAGTTCGGTGTATAGAGGCTTATTTGTTTTAATTTTTTTTTTGGCCGTTCCAAAAGGTTGGCGCCGGATCTGCTTGATTTGGGCGAAAGAGCGGGATTGAAGACCACCTAGGGCCAGGCGGGCGGACTCTCCATGTAATAACTGTGTATACAACAACCATCAGGGGTTTAACGTCTTCTCAAGTATTGAATGAAAATGAATATCCACGACACGACTCATTCTACCACTCGCCACTGTGAACTGTCCACATTCCCTTGATATAAAAAAATAGGACAAAACTGCGAATTCAATCCGGCAACGCTACATATCATACGCGCATAGGGCACATGGACCACTCGGCGGGAAAATAGATGCCACGGGAAGGGGGATATGTGCATGCGAGGACATGAGAGACGGACTACGAGTCGGGAAAGTGCCCCATAATGGAATCGTGAATCGTGAATCGTGAATCGTCCATTGGGTTTAAGCGATGAAGATGAAGAGGAAGGACTAAATTTGGGGACCAAAATGGAATCAATATACATTACGTAACTTGCCGTCTCTCCTCTCCTCTGCTCTCTTCTCTTCTCAAGGGAAGGGGAAAAAGGGGAAACAGGGGCCTCAGCTCGCTGTTTCGCTTGTCGTGGAACCATCGTGAATACGGACTACCCGTACACAAATGTTCTTTCTTGCGGTTCTTGTCTCGTCTGTCGCACAAATACAAATACACACACTTTCTCCAAGACAGAAGGGAATTCAGGTCCAGCAGTCTTGCAATCCACTTTTCAGTCTGCACCAGGGTGGTCAGGGTCAACGTCGTCGTACTCTCCAAACTCGCCGCACAGCACAGATGCAATCCTCCAATCCATCTCGGGAATCACGTCGATCACCTCGCTCGGACGACGACGTAGGCGCTGGTGCCTCTGGTTCAGGCTCTCGCCTTCCAGGCCCTGGTTCTTCTTCCGACCTTTGATTCAGCTGTTGCATGGGATCGGGGCGATTTTGATGGGCACGTGGATGTGTCGCGCCTCGCCGTGCTCCATGACCTTGGGCACCACGATCCTCAGCAGGCCGGCGTCGAGCTTGGCATGCGTGTTGTCGCGGTCCACGTCGACGGGGAAGTTGTACGCCCGGATCATCTCGCCGACCTGGCGCTCGTGCACCGTCAAGTGAGGTTCATGTTTCTTGGGAGCATGCTCTTCCGCCGGCGCGGCAGCTGGAGCAGGAGCAGCAGGAGCAGCAGCAGCTGTAGCTGTGGGCGCGGCTTCCGCCTCGGCAGCGGGGGCTTCTTGGCTAGCTGGCGGCGCGCCGTTTTCAGCCATGGTTTCTGCAGAAGCTGGAACTGGAGCAGCGACTACTGGAGGTGGGCCAGGCTCCTCTACCAACTCTTCTTCCGGGATATCGGGACGATGCGTCTTGCTCGTCAATAGTAACGTACGGTCCGAGGTCCAGCGCAGACGAAGTTCGGTATGCTCCTTGATTCCTGGGAGCTCGACTTCAATGTAGAAGTTGGTCACGGTTTCGCGCACATCGGTCTTTGGTTGATGGACGTCCTCATCTTTGTCGTGGAATTTCGAGTACGCTTTGTGTGCCATGTACGGAATTGGTATGTGGTGCAGATGGTGACCAGGTTCCGGGTAGGTATGGGAGATGTGGGTTGTTGGATACGGATCAATGTCGGACGTGATGTAAAACCAACCCGCCATTTTGTTCGCTGTGACTTGATCAAGTTTTGTCGATTCGACTTGGTTTGATGTCTTCAAAGATGAGTTCGAGTTTGAATTTGACCTAGGTTGCGATCTTTTCTCCCCAGAATTTCGAGGCCGAGCCCGTGTATATGTTTTCCAATTTGCATTGCTCCCCAAAAATGCAGGTACGTCATGTGCCCGTCGCTGAGCAATCCCATGTTGTATGCCAATGTTTCTGGTCAATGCCTGAAGCGTCGAGAAGACTCACCTCATGATCATGGAAGCGTTGCAGATGCAGAATCATGCGATCTGGAGACGAGGGAAGATGGCTGTAACTCATTGGAGGACGTTGCGTGAGAAAGTTTGCAATATTGTGGTGTGATGTCGCACAGCCATGTCTCTGCAGCGTAAGCAAACACCCAATAGACGCGACCATCTAGAGGGCCTAAGTGCGGACCTGGACAGACCGTTGGCCTTTACCGAGTAGGCGAGCTAACGCGCAGGAAGGCTCCGCCCCTGAATTCTCACAAAGATCTCGACCGCCTGCCCCGTCCCACTGAGGGCTAAAGGGCCCAACCAGTCCGCCCGAAGAGACTTGCAGGCGCCTAAAACCTGCATTGAAAGCCCCTAGCTGTCTCATTGAGATCTGCGCGGTCATACCACCCAATTTATGCCTCAGCTCGATCCAGCCATGCAAAAGTCGAGCATAGGAAGAACAATGTCACTTACAAGCTCACCTTTATAAACAGGCCCTCAGCCTGCGCTCGGTTTTAGGTGTGCTAGTTTCACCCATCAGACCTCAAAGACATTTACAACCCAAGATCCGATCAGACATCTAGAGATTGGTATTTTGTTTCTCCCCCACAAGCAAAATGCTGCGAACAACAATCGCCAGAAACTGCATGACCAGAATCCGAACTCCTCAGTTCTGTCAATCGTTTGCTACCACACGGCAAAGCTGGAGTGAAGGAGACACTGGAGCAGTACGGCCGGGCGGGATTGCTGTGAGGTAGGCCACTGCCACTGCCGATTCATGCCGAGCTGCCCCTTAGCTGACTCGGAAATTTGCTAGTGATCCATTCAATCGCCGGGAACAAGTCTTGGAGAACATGTATTTCAAGCAGCACGAAATGGAAAAGTGAGCGGCCGCCCTTAATCTGTCCTTGTCTGTGGATCTGAATCTCACAACCGCGTGTACAGTATTCAGAAAATGAGAGAAAAGCTCGCCGCTCAACGGAAACATTTAGACGAAGTCGAGAGTCATCTGAATGATATGGAGGCAGCCGCAATCCAAGCTGCACAAGCAAAGGCATCCGCAGACAATAAGTTGTAACAGGCAAACCTACCAAGTACAGGGTTCGGCGTTGAGGAGCTTTTGGATTTGAAAATTAAGGAGGTCACTGGAAGGCTGGCCGATCAGGCCCTAGAGTCTTCGATAATGCTGCATTTGGCATAGCATAGCGACTGTAGTCGTACTGGTACGTTTTTGATCAATGGACACCACATTTGCATCAAGTGTCTCTTGCCGCTATACCTACCAGATCGTCTTGAAAAATGCTCACCTGTCATTGCGGCTGTAAATATGACAAGCGAGGAGGGTTCTGAAAGTGACCCGGTGTTGGATGGGCTGGGACAGGCGTAAAAGTCCATGGTTCAGATGCACAAAGCAAGCGAACGGCCATGCCGAGAGCAGCGATGCGTAGCAGGTGGTTAACAAGTAATTGCATGACGATTCAACGTCACCAACGTGGAGAAGATGAACCGTGCACAATGTGGTCTGTAACAAACCTCTGTGCTTCTTGCAGTCCTGAGTATCACACCATGATTGTTCGATACACAGCAGCGTAATTCGGTCTCAAGGAAGCTGCGCTAATTTTTTCGAGGACACTATGTGGTGTTCTTTCATCCTGTTGGACAGCTGGTCATTCGACAAAAAGTTTAGGCATTCCATGACCCGAGTCTATTCGTACGGGTTGGATCTCGTCTGCACCACACTCGTCATGTCCATGGCCAGAACCTTGAAACACAGGAGCTGAGATGGGACTCGTCCACAGTCATGCCCAAAACACCCAGATCATAGGGGTCCAATTAGGTAATCCCATGAGCCGACCGCAGCCGTTTTCGACGAGCATCACGCCACGATCTGTTGGTAGGTCGGATCAATGGCGTGCCTGTCGGTTGAGCAGGCGATGGCTGAATGTATCATATTTGACGCTGTGCCTCCATCTCTCGTGGTCCAGCAAAAACCACAGATTCAGAACAAAAGTACCATCAGGGTAAATAGTGGAAATTTCACCAGCGAACACTCACAACACCAAGAACATGGCCAGCAAAGCAAACGGCAACGGCAACGGCGACGTCGAAAACCTCTACCATATCGTCTTCAGCATCTCGAACATCCAAAAGGACCCCAACCTCGCAATCGAGAAGCTGCGGATCTGCGGCACCTACACAGACCTGCCTACAGCCAAAGCGGAGGCACACAAGACTCTCTTCGAGGCGGGCTATGAACGAGAATGGTTTGCCGAATACGACACCAACGAGAAAGACTTTGATGAACACCACATCAAGAGAAAAACGGGTCTGTGTGTCTTTGCAAAGTCATCGGACGGCACCACCTTCCGCGTGAGCGTAGCAACCACGCCGAACTTGCAAGGCTTCACCAGCAACCCCGAAGATCACAAAGTGCACGGTGACATTTACCACGTGGTGCAAACCATTGTCCTGTATGATGAAGACGACAGTGGCGAAGCCAGGGAAACAATTGTGGAAGGCTCATTCAAGAAGTATGAAGACGCCCGGAAATACGCCAGCACAGTCCTCCTGGCGCCCGAGGACGGCGTGACAAAGGAATCATTTGCAGAGTACGACGAGGCAGGCCCAACGGAGAAGGATTGCGGATACGGCGAAAACGTGCTTGTACATGCGGTAGGCGGCAACGGCGAGAACCTGTTAATCAGTGTCTTGAGGGGCCAGGAAATGGAGTCGGTTAGACTGGCGGAGGCAGCGATGAGGATTCGCTCATTCAACTAAATGGGACATTTTGTTTACCAAGGTACGAACAAGGTCGACGTCGACAACAAGGGTTCTGCGAAGTTTTGACAACGCTGTACAAAATCAGAATTGAAATAATTTGAGCTCTAATCATCGAGAACCAGAATCGATTGTAGATTTCGATGTGGGAAAAAGAGATTTCGGGCCGAGCAGAGGAGCATATGCAAGTCCTGAAAGAACACAAGCAATCATGGAGTTGGTGTTGTCGTCGGTCGCGGAAGGGATCAATCTTGCACCATTGACCCGAACCAACTCCGCCTGAATGCCTTGGGCATCTTCGGAAATCCCGGAGATGGCAGTCCCCCCGGAAGATCCCGCTAAAGGCTCCTTGCTGAGGGTTCATAGGACCACCAGACTCCCTAGTAGGCGGCTAGGAGTCTTCCAATTGGCACCCAAGCTCCCCCGAGTGGGGTGCTTAAGTGCCTAGAATCTGGGCGAGCCTCGCATAGTGCCCTTGCAGAGTATCGTCAGGATCACACCACCACTCCCATCACCAGCACCACTCCGTAATCGCTACCCATACTACCAAATGTGCCTGTTGCATGCCTATTGACGCCTATTGTCGTCATCGATCTGTAGCGGGGATGCCTAGAATCATACAGACGCATCGCACCATCTGCTCGTCAGTAACGCGCATCACATGGCACTCCGCATGGCAAGACTGTTGTGTGACTTTTGAGGGGCTTCAGTCCTGCAAATCTCAATTCTCGGATTCCTGCGTTTCTCGATCCATCCATCACACACTTTCTTTCGGCGACCATGCTTTCTCGGACAACTCCCTCATTATATCTCGCTGATGTACGACACCATTCCCTTCTGTCCAGCTCGTCCAAAGCAACAGCGAAACCAGATCTTGACTGGCGAGATATATTTTGCCCCTTGACATCTCGTTGACTTCATACCTGAACTAGCTGGAAAACCATGTACATCCCCAGACAGCAATTTCTCACCGAGGCCGACGTTTGGCCTCAGCACACCGAGAGCGTCCTCCGAACCAATGACTCAGTCGCTTCCTACCCTGGAATGCCCGCCGACTTCCAGCCTCCCTACAGAAACAATCCGGATATCCACAGTATCGCGGTCTTTATACAAATCACATGGATGCTGTGGTTCGTGTTGATACTGTTGATGATGTGGTGAGTGGCATGATTATCAAATACTGGTAAGGCCTCGGCTGACGTAAAACAAGTCGCGCTCTTTACGACAGATTCGGCGGCGGCGAAGAGGAAAACTCGGACGCAGAATCAGAGATCTCCGAGGCTGGCTGGCGCATCGAGGACGCCAGCCTCCCGGCTAGATCAGTGGCCTCGCAGCATCGGAAGAGGTTAAAAAAGCTAGAACAAGTTGCTCCCGCTCAATCATTGCTACACTGGAGAGCCGAGAAATCAGAAGAACATGTCCAGACCTTTGCAACACTCTCTACGACCCTCAGTTGATATGTTACTAATTCCCCCTTGTGCCCAATCCATTGACTGACGTTCCCAGCACTGCTATCTGTTTGGAATCTCTCGAAGAAACGGATATGATCCGCGAACTTCGGTGTGGTCACGTCTACCACGCCAATTGCCTCAACCTTTGGGTTGAACGGGGTCATCACGACTGCCCTTTGTGCAAGTACGACATGCTGGGTTTGATGAAAAACTTTCTGAAACCCCATCCCGATGAGGAATCCGCGGGCATCGTTCCTGCTCAAGAAGCTGGACAACCCTCTGGAGAAGTGCGTTTCTTCTCTCCAAACCGAACGATTTTCGGTGATCGCTGACGAGCCTAGGTTCATACCCATCACGCCACTGACATTGAAGAAGCTGTGGTTGAGACAAACGGCTGAGGCTGGAGACCATCACGACACACAAATCAGTCTCATAAATTGAAGCGGCGGCACAACAGCGGCTGAGAAAGCTAGGACAACAAGACTAGTCTGCAGATAATATCCAGGAGACTCTTAGCTCTCGTCCAATTGCAGACATTGATGACAATACCTCATGTTGCGGTATTGTAGACCAGCCGACATGCGAAAGGCGTCTTTCCTCGGACGATACTCTTAAACGAATGGAGAAAGGCAAAACAAACCCTGAGCCCGAGCTTTTTATCCGACTCTTCTGGGCTATGAGGGATGTTATCATTTTCCAGTATCAGCCGAATGAAGTGGATCCCATCCACGACCATTGTACCGCAAGACTGGCTGACTTTGACACGAGTGGGGAGAAACTTCCCACATGTTTTTCCGTGCGAGTGGTACGCCATCTGCTTTGGCGCGGGGAAATACTATGGGCAAGGCTGTGATGGGATTCAATGCGGACTCCGGACCAGGCCGGTATGAACAAACCAACACCTCTGCCAGAAAGAGGCGCATCGATTAGCAAAGGCGTTAAGAATGCGATTACGAAGACCAATAGAGAGCACACTTTGGGATCGAATACAACTTGCAGCAGTAGATCCTGCGTTTATGTTGGCGGGGGTTGATGAAACCCATATCTACATCCCAGCACGGCTGGAAGCGGGCCGTGCATGCCATTGATATCTGTCTGACCTCCCTCATTCCAGGAGGCCGAGGAAGAAAAGGATCATTCGGGCACAAGGGGCTTGACAGGGACCCAAAGCTAGAAACAAAAATTCAAGAAGCATCATTCGTAACTTCATCCACCATCCTTCTAAAGACTCGCTGCCTCTCGCACTGCTCCAGGAAGACCTTGTACTTGACGTCGAGCAGACGCTTGACGCTCTTGTCGTTGGAGGGTCTTACGACCTTGCCGGGCTTGCTCATCCTGTCCATGATGCTCCATAGATCCTCTGTCTTGCCAGTCGCGGGGTCTGCGCTGGCGGCTTTGGCGCCGAGCATGGCGGCGCCGTGGCAGACGGCAGCGTGGACGTAGCGGGGGATCAGGACGGGCATGTCGCAGGCGGTGGCGACCAGGGACATGAGGATGTCGTTCTGGCACTGGCTGCCGGACATGAAGATGGAGCTGATGCGGTGGCCCGCGCCGTTCATGGTCGCGATGATCTGCAACGTCTGCAAGGCGATAAACTCCATCGTGCCGTAGTAGTACAGCGCGAGCCCGTCGAGGGACTTGTCGCTGGACAGCCCGACCACGGACCCGGACATGGTCGGGTCTGCGATCGGTGAGCGGTTGCCGAACAGATCGCCGTAGAAGAAGAAGTGTCGGCCCAGGTAGCTCACGCTGGGAGCGCCGGCCTTCTCCTTCATGTCCAGCAGGTGCTGGTTCAGAAAGTCGTACACGTTGCTGTTGGTCGACTCGGCGCGTGACAGGGCCTGGTTGTACGCCGGGTGCGTCTCCAGCACGTGCTTGAGCAGCTCCCCGGTTGCCGACTGCCCGCCCTCGGCCATCCAGTAATTCGGAATCACCGCGTCCCTGTACGGCCCCCACACGCCCGGCACGAACACGGGGTCCTTACTCATCACTAGGTGACAGGTCGACGTCCCCGCCACGGCGGCCAGGCGCGTAAAAGCTTGGGACTGGTCGTTTGCGGGGGCTTCTTGGGAGAGCTGGTCGGATGAGAGCTGGACCTTGGCGCCAACGGTGCCGATCCAGCCTGCGTACGCGTCGATGACGCCGCTGCCGACCGCGATGCCAGCGGGGAGGCCGAGCTCAGCGGCTGCGCGGGGGCATAGATGGCCAGCTAGTTCGCCCGCGGAGAGGTATTCGCCGTTCTGTTGACTCAGAGAAAGACAAAGGTTAGCCTGACTGGTCCGAGGAAACGACGAAAAGGGGCAATTGAGAAAGTCAGTCGGACTCCTATCCGGTGTCCAAGGGAGAAGAACGTGTCAGGGATTGCAAAGAAACAGGCTCACCACCCCATTGACACCGCCCATTCGTTTGAAATTATCTTCAGCCAGATCTTCCAGGCCGATCTCGTGCAAAAAGTCCTCCTGCCACCCCTTGACACTCCCGTCCACCCCGACGGGCACATACCCCTGCTTGCACACGACGGAGCAAAAGCTCCTTTTCTCGTTGCCCGTGGCAATGTGCTCCAGCGCGTCGGTCAGGTCGTAAAACTTACACCGGTCAAACAGCGGTTTGGGCATGTTGTTCTTCAACCACAGGACCTTGGGGATCTCCATCTCAATGGACATGGTGCCGCCGACATATCTGAGCAAGTTGTGCTTGGTGGCGTTGATCTTCTTGGTTTCTTCGACGGGGCGGTGGTCCAGCCACAGAACGACGTTGTGGTCGTTTTGCGACGAGTCAAAGTTGGGCCCCGTGACGGAGACTGGCTCGTCTGTGTCGTGCGTAAAGACGGCCAATGAGCAGGTTGCGTCGAATCCGATACCCCGGATCGAATGGGGGTCGATGTTGCCCTGGGTCATGGCACGGTGGACTGAGAGGCAGATGCAGCGCCAGATGTCGGTAGTGGATTGTTCCTATCCGTATCGTGAGAGATGAGTCTGCTCGCATAGTCGGCGACCTACATAGTATCCCGTCTGAGGTTGCCAAAGGCCAATGTTCTCCGATGACAGGCCGACAATATCGCCGGCCTCGTTGATGATACAAGCCCGCGCACTTCCCGTGCCCACGTCGATGCCAATGTAATGATTCATCTGGACGTGGACCTCGTTTCTAGCGTCCACCGAGCCTTGTCGCGTAGGCGTCCGAACCCCGCTATCAGGGCCCGGACGGTACGGTATAGGACCTGAAGAAGCCATGACGAGGACAAAAAGGGAGAAGAGGAAGAGCGAAAGAGAAAGAGGGAGAGACAAGAGGGAAACCAAAGACGAAAAAAAAGTGGGAAAGTCGCAATCCAAACAAAAAGGAACTGAAAGACCAAACTTGGTGGTGAGGGGAGATACCCTTTTCAGCAAAGCCGATCAATGAACCCCTCGCAAGAAGGTAGCGAGACGCCGATGTCATTCTGTAGATCTGGAGTGTGTTGAGGCTGCAGGGTCGCAGGGGTTATTGGGAGAGGTTACAAGACCCGTGTGAGCCTATTGGAGCCTTGGGGGTTGTTGGGTGGAGAGGAGTAAGAGGCTCTCCATACTAATATGTGGGAACGGGTTGGGATGCGACAAGCTTGGACAAGTCAAATGGAGAGAGGCACCCAGAAGGGGGGGGTGGCCTTTTATGTACTTGGACTCCCCAAGTCCGTCGTCTCAATTCGCCCAGTCTGCGGTGTCTGACAAGCACTGCTATTACTCCATATCAAAGTCAATCTGGGCTCGCTTTGGCTTGCTTGCATTGGTATCAACTATTCCGCTCAACAGAGCGACAGAAAATTGGTGTCGCTCCACTTTATTGCCGCAATGGCACATATGGCGAGACCAGCATGGCTCAACCACCTCATATATATACAGGATAAAAGAGAAAGGAAAAGAAGAGAGGATCTCAGGACTGCCTGAGTCTCGATCAACCATCGCAGATCCCTCACTATTGCGATTCTCATCCATGGCAAACAGACATGACCAGCCCACGTTGTGTTGACAAAACGCCCACAGATTCCCGCCGTCTGATATCCCGAATTTTGCTGCCTTCCTTCTTGCTCCATTGCCTGTCGATCCCATTCGCCCCGTCTTTTCTGGTATAAAGCTGTGTCATCATCACTGCATGTCCAAGCCTCGCGAAAGGTCCAAAGTTTCTTCTATTCGTTTCATGACAAACAATAGGCTGCTCAATCAACGCCAGTTCCGACCCGGTTATCATACACTCACTTATCTATCGAACACCCCTCGATTCGCTGTTCAATTGCGCCAGCCGGGCTAGGACATTTGACACCTCCTTTGGGATACTGATCGAGTCGTTCAATAGTGGTACGGCACTCGTTTTGGGGGGAGATGAACTGGGCATTGGTTGCGGCGGCGATGCATCCCGAGGGCTGTATGCTGGTTCTTCAACCTCCTTCATGGGAGTGTCCTTAACGGCAGTGCCCAAAAGCCCAGCATGAGCTGCTCCCTGTCGAGCGGGTAGTTCGGCTGGTCCTGCATTATCCGGTGCGGACTCCGTGGTCTCCGGAGAATGCTGACCTGCTTCTGCCATGGCTTTCGGTGGCTCGCCCTCGCCTGTGCCTAGATCAGCCTGAGACTGGGACTTCTCAACGGAGGGAGTCGACGCCAGGCGGCGACTCATGTAGTCCCCCAAGCTTAGTTTCTTCCTTGCTGGACTAGGAGTCACAACATTATTGATCGCCAGAGGATACGAGACAGTCGATGCCGAGGTCATTGGAATTGGGGACTGTGCAGTCGCTGATGTGGTCAGTCCGGGAGTCGTCGCGGTGGTAGAAGACGACGATGCAGAAGTCGCTGAAGATGGAAACGCCGGTACAGGCGGGAGGGTGGCTAAGTGCAGCTTCGGGGCCGAGGGAGACCTGAAGGCTTTGAATGTGTGGGCCGCTTGTGACGGCAGAGGATATGTGTCTGCTCCTGCGTTGATAGGGCTGCTGCTTCCTGCAGGAGACTGCCCGTTTGGCTCGGTATCCATGACGCTTCGAGTATCCACCCTTTCGGTGGCGTCTTTCATTTCCACATCTTCCGTCTTCGCGGGGAGTACAACTATTTGCGTCCTCGAGTCTGATGGAGGCGAACTTTGTCCTGGACACTGTTGTCCATGCCTGACGTGGTACTCCAAAACTTTTCGGAGCAATCGCTGTGTGGGGGTGCAGAATTTCCTCCTTTTTGCGGGAGGAGGCATGGGCATCTCGGACTCTTCTGGATCCGTCTGAACCGCAACACTAACATAAACAGGTCGTTGTATCCTAACGTCCACTCTGCTAGGTGCATCCGTGGATTTGCCTCGAGCTGCTGAGCCTCGCGGCGGCGGGGGCGAGCCGAATTTGAGAGGGTGGCTGCTGGGTGTGGTAGGGTGCGAAGTGAATTGGTGCCCGAGTTGCTTCGAGGCATTCGCGCTAGGCGTGTTCAAGGTTGAGCCGCCGCTTGTGCGTTTCTTTTTTCGTTGCTGGCCTTGTCCACTTTGATCCCTTTTTTCTTGTTCCCGCTGCGCGAACGCTTTCTCCGCCATTTGGATTTTGCGTAGTTCTCGAGCAGTGAGACTGCTTCCCAGAACCGGGTCGGCGTCAAGAGCAGCGACATTGACTGGAGTGATGTCTCTGCTTAGCATACCGCTGCGAGAAGACTCAGAGGTGGACCGGTGATCGAACTGGTCTTCGTCATCGAGTACCTTGGGTTCGCTTCCTGCGCGACTGTTGGTGGCATGTCCAGTACTGAAGGGCGAGATGGTATGATTCATCTTACTTTTCTTTTTCCTGCCTCCTTTTTCCTTCGACGCACCCTCCAGCGACTTGGCGGGATATCGCCGATCGAAGGGCGCAAGTAAACATGCCGGACCAGCGTCGCAGGCACAGTCTCCAAAGTTCGCGAGGACACGGCTTACCCAGTCGAGGCGTCGGTTTTGTGCTTGTTCAGAATCGTCAGCAGCGAACATGGCGGAATCGAGAAACCACATGGTGGTGAGTTCGGCACCGGCGGGAATATCCTTGCTAGCGACAAAGCAGTGCCGGGTCTCGTTGTCGGAAACGAACGTCTTCAAGGTGACATTGGGTCGACAAGACCGTCGCAAATATCGAAAGCGAGTTCCAGATTTTCGGCTGTCGATGTAGATGTCCATGTGCGGGTGGAAGAAGACAAAGGGGTCTGGATGCCGCAGCTCCTGCCATCTGTTCGACGAAGACTTCTGCTGGCAGTACTCCTCCAGCATGCCAACTTGACCTCGAACCTCGCCAACAATTTCGTCTTTCTTAACGGAAGATTGTACACGTAAGAAACGCCATGTGGGATATCTGCCATCGTATTCAATGTCTCTCTTCTGGATGGTCTCCACCGAGACTTCCGGCCAAGTGTTTTGATCTAGGGGCTGATTTGCACGTACGAAGGGGGTTTTCGCATTTGGTTGTTGCCCGGGACTGCTGACCACCAAAGATGGGTCAGTTCGCCATGCGAAAACCGTATTGGTAGCCTGAATTGTCTGCTCGTTGTCCCGGGCATTCGTGTTCCCCTCGTCACGTTGGTAGAGTTCAAGGAAGTCAGTAGTATAGGTGGGAATGGCGGGAAAACGGAAGAGGTCTTGAGGCGATTTGGAAGGACTTGGGTAGGACTGAGCTGTGGAAGCGGCGCGTTTTCGAGATTCACCGTTTGTTGAGATGACCGAACCCGAAGTCCGGTGGCTTGTCTTTGGTTTCTTCGCAGGAGGCCCATCTCTTACGCTGGCGACGGATTCATGGCGATCGTGATGCCAGCCATTTACCTGTTCGGCCGTCGCACTCGTGTCCTTGTGCTTTTTCCTTTGGCTTTTGGAGTTTGGTCGCTTGACCTTCCGGTCACCGCCGTCAAGGGCCTCTCGATGCCTTCGTTGTCGCTCAGTGGCTTTCTTTGCGTCAAGATCTCGAGGGGAGCAGTCTGCGCAAAAATGCTCTTCGGGCACCTTCTTGCCGTGGTAGTAGCACTCAATGTGCTGCCAGGTGTCGCATTTAGGGCAGTATACAGTATTGCCATCGTCATCTGCGTAGATGCAAATGCATTTGATGGTGTATTCCTCCTCCTCTTGTAGATTGCTGTCTGAAGGGGAGCCATTGGGTAAAGGAGAGGCCAGAGAGGGAGCGGCGGTGACCGGGTAGTGGTGAGATGCGGGATGCGTGGTGAGAAGGGAGGACTCTGTCATAATCCGACAGAGTACCTCCTCATCGGTCGAATTTAGTTCCTATTTTGTGCTTGCTTCAATTATAAAGATATCCGTCGCATGTTGCGCATCGCTAGGAGAGGGTGATTCCCACGCAAGGATGGACAGCCTAAAGTTGGCCTATGAGTATCGCGCAAGTGGGAGAATGACGAAGCAGGCGTCTAATGTGATTCCGATGCGTTTTGAGGTCTTTTTCAGGGCAAGGAGTGTCGCTTGATGAGGTGGACTAATGGGTCACCAGAGAGGCCACACAAGCGCAGACAGTAAAGGGGTATCGCAAAGGGTCGTAACTGATCAGAATTGAGCGTCGACGTTATCAGAAGGGTTTTGGACAGCAATCCAGGACTGTCGAGCACTATTGGCTGCGAAAATGTCGACTTGGGAGATGTTGGTTACAACAGGGTCGAGGAGGATGGCTGCAAAAGGTCGACGCAGTTATCGAGGGTGAGACAAGACAAAGGGCTGGGAATGGAAATGGGACCGAGAGATCAGAACCGTAAGGTGAAGGAATGGGACTTTCGAAGATGCGTTCGAGGAGGGAAGAAATTGCTGAATGACAAAGAGGGAGACAAGAGATGGCGAGAGAGAGATGGATGGACGGATACATGGAGGGACTGCGAGACGCAAAATGCGCCGCCGCAGCAGCACCAGCAGTAGCAGCGGCATGAATTAGAGACGGACTGCTTCTGCTCAGACTGTTCTCACGCAAAAATGGCACACCCACTCAACCAACCCTGGACCCCCAAAGCCAAACTCCCAGCGAGCCAGTTGTAGGCGCAAGGCCTCTAGCAAAGACCCCCCCTTCGCACCTGGGAACTCAGGCCACTGGCAGGGCAAATAATAATGGGTTGGGGCTAATGGGCTAGGCTGGGAATAGGATGGGCGCAAAACGCTGAGATCCACCAGGCTCATGGACCACTCCCGTCGCGAGTGTTCCACGGGGGACAATGGGCGAAGTGGCCCAAGGAACACACCCTCTGCAGCTTTTGACTGGGCAGAGTTTTCTTTCATCCTGCGAGCCTCCTTGCCTCCCCGTGGTAAAGTGTCGAAAGCCCCGAGGCCCTTGTTAGGCATGACGCCTGCTAGCCCGCGGATCAGCCTGTCCAACGCTTTTACTCAGGCCCAGCAGCCCTAGTCCGGTCCTCCGCACAGGGAACCAAGTAGGCCAAGTTTTGTTGTCTTGCTGCCTATCTCTTTGCATGCAGCTTTCTTCACTGCGCTTGCTCAAACTTCATTTCTCATCCCCTCGTAACGGAGACGGCGTCACGAGGCACGGCCAGCCACGAATCACTGGCTGCCATCAATGTGTTAGTGTTCCTGCCTGGTACACAAGCCACCTTTGGGCGGGCCCCTTTTCCTCCCTTTCCCTCTGGCTCCCTCTGCCCTGCTCCATTTCTCACTTTTCTCACTTTTTTTCCCTCTCCAATCTGCCCTTCACTCTTCTCCCTCCTTCATCTCCTCTTCCACCATGTGTTGTTCTACTCGCTTCCCATCCTGCTCCTTCCTTTTCTCCTTTCATTATAGCAGCCTATTGAATGACGACCGCAGGTACTTCCCGACTTCAGGGCGATTCCCAATCCAGCCAGAACCGCCATCAAGTCTCGGAATCCGATGAACACGACTGCACAAAATTAAGGTGAAGGTGCTGCAGTCGCCGGGCGGGGTTCGGCTTCGAGTTGAAGCTTGAAGATTCGGAAGCAAAGCGACAATTCGCTGGTCAGCCAGTTCTTCAGTCCACTCGCCCATGCTCCTTTGGCCACCTGCATTTCGACTTGCTCATGTTGCATTCGCCCCATGATGACATGTTCTGCAAGGATATCATTGCCGGCACTCCTTGACCTTTCATCCTCACTCTGTTCCTTCGCGCTTGCTTCCTGCATCCTGCTTGTCCCGCCATACATCCGAGCCATCGCCCTCATCCTCGCCCTCACCCAGTTCTCTCAACTTCCTTCCAACTCCGTCTGTCTCCTGCTGACCTTTTCCAGCCTGATGCTATCTTGGCCGGTCGTACCAAAGCCCTCCCTTTCTCTACCGCATAGCCGCATCGACTCTCGTACTACCTCCTTCGGGTGACCCTTCTTACCTGCTCCACTCTAGCTACGATGCCCCGCTGTTATCATTTTGCGAACCTTGGTCCCGCGGAGAGATGATGGCAATTAATCTTGTTTCATATCTTGCGGGAGGCCTATCGGCGCGCAGTCTCTAGGGGTCTCTCAGATAAAAGGCACAAGGCAGTGAGTACTCGCCTGACCTGCCGTCGGTATCGGCTCGGGACCTCGATCTTTCTACCCCTCCCATCCGTCGAACTTGGCTTTTGTCTGAACGGCGACACTACCTCTGCTCTTCTCGTGGACTCTCAACGATCGAGATTTACACTCGTGAGGAGTAGTATACCTCCGTCATAGAGGGCCAAAAGGAAGACGCATTGTTCGAACGACATATTCACAATGAGCGTTTTGGATTCATGATTCAGATTCTCCCTCACCTTGGTTCCAAACCCTCCTATCACGATGCTCGTGATTGGTGATTGCTTAGAAGACTTGTTCTGTGGATCCTTGAGCATCTCAATCTCGACTTGTTATCGACATAATTTTGTCAAGAGCGGGAACTTCTCACAAGGGTGTCCAAGTTACCTCGTTGCCGAAGCCTTAATCTAAGGCAGTTGCCATGCGCCAAGGTTGATGGTATTGATCGAGTAATTGGCGAGATGTCATCGGCGCATTTGCATGAAGACATCCGAAAGACATGTGCAGTTGAGATCCAAGGCAACGTGCATCATAGATTGCAGCAAGCAAAGAGAAAGACGGGCTACCGGAAGGAACACATTTTGCTCCGTTCCGGTGGGCATGACCATCATGCTGCCTGAATGCCTATAATTCACTTCGATTGATCCGTCTATCGTTGATTGGACCACCACTCTCAGAAGCGTAACAAGTGACGATTTCAGGTTTCATCGATGCAATGTATGTTAAGAAGAAGCAGTTCCGACGCTGCGGCTTCGATCCTGCGCCTCCACCACGTGACGTACCTACATAAATGAGAATTTTGATCCAACCGCCAAGACCTATCCGAGGCTGAATTTTCTTTGTACGCTGATTGACACATGATACCCCCTTCGTCCCTTCCTGCTTGTAATCAACTACTCTATACATCTCTCACTCTTGCGCGACGTACTTGGAGTCTAGGTAATCATCCTCCTATGACAACACGATCTCTAGGGACCGGGTAGCGAGCCGGATTCAAGGATGATGACTGGCACAGTTTCTGTTACGGAATACATACCTTGAGATTGTGCCCGATAATGTCAGTGACCGCTGGGTATATCGAATATAACCGACAGGATAGGGTAAATGAAAAGAGGGCCACTATTTACAAGGGTAAACGGAATTCTCATTACCAACGAAGGCCATCTCCGCTCTAACAGCGAAGGACTCTCGCTTACTTTGCAATTCAGTTTAGGAGGTATCTGCATAGGAACCTAGATAGGTACGGATGTATTGTAACAAAGCAAAGTGGCTGTGTTATGCTGGCATTGTGGGTAGCAGGAAGGCGATTTGGGTGGTCACATGACAGGACAAAAAGGACCAGTATGATTCTGGCTGTGGACGAGAGGTTTCAAGGCAGGAAGGAGCCACTGAGCATTCAAGCAATGAAGGCATCGCAATAGTCACAGCAGTTATAGAAAGGCTGTGCTAGCATGCCATCGTTGTCAGTGTATATGACAGTTTAAAGTGCTGGCCGTGTGCCATTCTTTGCAGTTTGAACAGAGTATTTTGTGGTTTTTTCATACCACTGACCTATCCCTGAGTATCCCTTTTGTTCTCGTCCACCCCCCAACGCCACCGCCGTCTCTCTGTGGGTAGTATTGATGGTGGTGTTGCCCTGCCAGCGCCGACCAGAAATGCATTCTCGATTTCCGACCTGTCTGACAGGCCCCTGTGCGTTGTTGCATGTGGATGCTTGACCCCAAAGTGCTCCGTAACAGGTATATATGTAAGTTGCGGCCTTCGGATAAGGAGGATCCTAGCTGTTAGGTACTATTTAAGTTGTTCACAACCGGCTATATCCTTGGACGGAAGACGTGGATGAGAGCCCTTCTTTTGACTTTGCTTTTTTTCTTCTTCTGTGTTGAAGAATAACTAGGACATCTGTCGCTATGGTTGGTAGTGGTGGGTGGTGCTGGTGGTGCTGGTGGACTCCCAACAGGGTTTCTCGATAGGAGGCATGCAAGTTGGCCATGCTTTTGGGGAGGGTCTTTTGGTAATTCTCAAAGAAGTGCCAAGGGACATTGTTGTGTCGACGTCTTCGATATGCTAAGGCTCGGTGCTATGTTGTTTGTTGCATATGGAGTTCTCCGTACACACTCGGTACATTCTCATGTATTCTCAAGGTACGCGTATCACTATCAGTATCAGCCCCTCTTTATGTACCCCATACTCACTCAGCCTCGTTTCTGTCTGCCGGTCTGTCCCTTGTTTCTCAATCCCACCCCAATGTCCTGCTCATTTCTCAAGGTACATGACCTCCTGCTCCCCCTTCTCTCCTCCATCTTCGCTCCCCCCTTCGACCTGCTCGCCGTTCCTAATCTTCTCCTCTTCGGCCCTCCGCGCGACCTCCTCATCCATCCTCTCCCACATCTCCGGTCTCTTCAATTGCGTGGCAACCTTATCTCTGAAGACAAATATGTTGCGGTGTTCCGCAAAGTATCGGTCGATGTCTTCCAGGGACCGATTGGCCGTCTCTGGGTAAAAGAAATAGGTGATAGGGATAAAAGAGAAGCAGATCACGGCCCAGATAATCCAGAATTTGTAGCCTAGGTTGGCGATACCCGGTGGTGTTACTTGGGCGACCATCTGTAGAGATAGTTAGGACTCATAGTGGTGTAGCCAGGAATTTGCGGAAGAGCAGCGTGGAAGGGCTAAGTAGACCGAGATATTGTCTTCTTTCTGCTAACACATGTACGGTCTTTACTGTCCCGGTTTAATAAGGTCAGGGCGACTTACGTAGTTCATGATCCAGTTCGTCGCCATTGCTAGAGAAGCACCTTTGGCACGGAAGGAGATATGGTTGATTTCCGTGGGGTAGAGCCACTGTGGTCAGATGGAAATTAGTTTTCTCGCAATTGCAAGCCAACAAAAAAGAGAAAATGTATTTAGGGTTAGGGTCAGGGTTATGGTGATCTGTTAGGGAGAATACTTACAGGCACTCCAAGCACACCAAGTGCAAATGATGCAAAGAATACAAAGAAAAAAGTGGTCGCAAGGGCTCCTAGCTTGTACGTATCTCCTTTACCGTTCTGGGACAACCCCAAGGCAATGCTGATTATGGTCCAGCATGTGGAACAGGCAAACGCTGAACACATCATAACCCGGCGACGGCCATACCGTTCGATGAAGAACCACGCCAAGAAAGAGAAGATGAGGTAGTCGACAGATCCGGCGGCCGCAAGGATTCGAGCTCTGCATCCAGTGTTAGTAGGAAGTCCTCTTCCGTGCTACCAGGTCTGGGGGTTGGCTTGACGTACAAAAGTTCGTTGAGGTTGATAGCGTGGATGAAGATATATCTGTTGAGGATCAGCATCGTCCCACCTTTCGCAAAGAACAAAAGACGTACGTTTGGAAGTACGAGGTCACATTGATATGTTAAACAAGGGAAGAGCACAGGCACGTGATTACCGCATCCGGTAGTCAATACACGTGACTACCGGATGCAGCATTCTACGCACGTGACTGCCGCAAACAGTATTGAGGTGTGTTCTTTGTATGGAGAAGACTTAAATAGTGAGGCCCTCCTGGAGTTATCTGGGAAGTTCTTCATCCGTCTTTAATATATCTAAATGCACCCCATTGGTATATTCAAGTGGTTATGAGCCCGGCCTTCTGAGGCCGGATACTCGTTGCAACGCCAAAACAAGACACGACGGATAAAACAATACACCAATACACCAACACACCAACACCACCCGTTCACAATGGACGTCACCACTCAGACTGTCCTTCAAGGACAGTACAACTACACTAGATGGAGACGCGAATTCTTGATCCTGGCTGATTCAGAGGGAGTTCTCTCACTCATCTCCAGAGGAACCACGTTTGGGAACTCAGATCCAATCGAGGAACTCCTCAGCAACCCCGGTGCCCCCCCAAAACGCGGAGTCTTGGGGACTGGTGCCCAGGTTGCCACCGACGTCAAGGAAAGGGAGGCAGAGATTGAAGCCAAGTACTACCAGGAACTGGAGGCCTACAAATTCAACCTCAAGCTGTACGAGAAACAGCAAGAGCGTGTCCGGAAGGTTAAGAAGCTATTCACTAAGCTTGTTGACCCCTCGATCCAGTCCCAGATCCAAGGGAAACCTCCTCGCGAGGCATGGCTATACCTGTCATCTCACTATCAAATGAACCCTACGATGGCAGAAGCGATATTGCTCAAACAGCTCCGAGAAGTCAGCCTAGCTGACTTCAAAACAGCTCAAGAGTACATTACTGCCATTGAGAACATCTCACAAGACCTAAAGACCTTAGGAACTCAGCACGCCCTCAGGGATGAACAGCTCAAACAAATTATCCTTGCAGGACTGACTCCTCAGTACAATAGACTTGTGGAACAAGTTCACTTTGATGCAACAACTACGGGATCAACCATCACCAAGGAACAACTTCTCACTCGAATTCTTACCTTCGAGAGCCTCGTTCAACAACGAAAATCCAACACCGGAAATGAAAAAGCCAAAAACACCAAAGGAAAAAAGGCAGGGGAGAGCCACCTGGCCATCACCGCCTGTCCTGCCTGTAAGAAGAATCATCCCGGCGGTGAGGACGAGTGCTGGTTCAAACATCCTGAGAAGAATCCTTGGAAGAACGGAACAAAGGGAAACGACAAAGCTGAAGATGAGAAGGCGGCGCCGATACGAAAAGTCGCGGCCGTCGCTACCTTGGACTTGACTGCATTCAAACGTGGACTCTCGGAGACAATGAATGCTGACAGTGATATTTCAGGTATGGTGTCACCCGAATTCACCATCACCACTGCCACTGCTAACCGACTCCAGGCTGAGCTTGGAGGTGAAGGAAAGCAGGTAACGCGGGTATCCGCGGGACAGGCAGTGGGATGGGATGAAGGGCGCGCATATCCTGAGACGTCAGGACTAATTTGTCCAACTGTTGTCACTCGTTCATTGTCATCTGAATTAGAATCCTCGTTAGTGCAAGATAGCCAATCGATCGATTTCCTTGAAACACTGGACACAACTAAGCACCTGGACCAACCTCCAGGGGGAGTCGAAGTCATGTTTGCTACGAGCTCCGTGAATATTGCCCGGGATGCCTGGCTTGCAGACACCGGCGCAAATGGACACATCGTCAACGACATCAAGTGGTTTCAAAAGTTCGTCAAAATGAACCAGAAAATCGGAACTGCAAATGGGAGTGAATCACTGAAGATCAAAGGAGGGGGAACGGTTCAGATGATCGTCCTCACCTCCACGAGACAGGAAGTCGAGATCACACTCTCCGAAGTCGCCTATGCGCCAGACGCTAGATGCAACCTTCTCTCAGTCAGTGCGTTTTGCGAAAAAGCTAATGCTAATGCTCGCCTCAATCACAAGCTACTCACTTTCGAAGATGAGAATGGCGAAGAGTTAGCTTGTAGTCAAGTGAACAACGGCCTGTACTATCTCATCGCATATCCTGTGAAAGTCGAAGCGCAGGGTACCCGAGGCGAAGACTTTGGCCTCGCAGCAGTCCTCGATTTTGAAAAGGATCCAGTCTGGAAGTGGCATCGCCGCCTCGGACACCTTGGGATCGAATCAATGCGAAGACTACTAAAGCAGAGTGAGGGAATGGACGTCACCGACAAGCAACTTGCGGCTAAAGCAAAGCTCCTCTGTCCGGTATGCGCAACTACCCGGGCCATTGTTAGAATACCGAGGAGTCCGGCCCGCCGAAGATACAAGAAACTAGGAGAACTGCTGCACGTGGACACATGGGGACCTTACCCAGTTGCCGGATACGATGGTACAAAACTCTTACTGTTTATCACCGATGATGCCACACGATGGACGGCCGTGGAACGCCTCAAGACCAAAGATGAAATCCCGACAACTCTTCTCAAGGCTCATAAGCGCTTTGAGCGAACGCACGACCTAAAGATCCGAAGGTATCGATGTGACAACGAGTTCATGCAAGGTATGATCCAAGCATTCTGCGAGGAATACGGGGTCGATCTGGAACCTACGGTACCCTACGCGCATCACCAGAACGGCACCGCAGAAAGAGCACATCGTACCCTCAGAGACCGAGCCGCGGCCATGATGCAAGACCAGACAGTGTGCACACAAATCACCAACATAATCGTCGAAAGAGGTAACGAACTGCTGCGGACAGGCAAAATCCCAGAAATACTCTGGCCAGAGGCAATGGCTCACGCTACATGGATTAAGAATCGATCCCCCACAAAGTCGCACAAATATAAAAAGACTCCTTTTGAACTCCTCCACGGAATAAAACCGGATCTCTCTAAAGAACGGATCTGGGGGAGTCGGGCCTACGTTACGAAAGCGAAGGAGAAGCGTGAAAAAGACAGAGACACTAAACTGCAATCCCAGCGGGGCTGGCTAGGCTATTTTGTCGGACTCGAAAGCGAATCAGTGGCACGAGTCTGGAACGACAAAGAGAAGAAAATCTATCGTGTCTCAGAGCCAAACATTGATGATGGACAAGGCCTCGACGATCCTCACGCTGACGCAGCACTCAGTGCCAGGGTCCCACTCCCTGAGCTTCCTGAGGACTCAGGAGACTGGGATATCCCGACGGACGAAAGCTCTTCGGATGACGACGACGACGAGTTCTCGAACAGTGAGTCAGAACAGACAGACGCGGCAGAACAGCTGGCAGACCTTGCAGCCGTCACCACTAGGGCAGGCAGAGTCTATGACACTGCACCTATAAATGCTCAAAACCCGCTCAGCGCAAAACAGGAAGACTCAGACGAATACATGGAAAGTGACCAAGATAGTGCAGAGTCGTCAGAGGAAGAAATAGTTCACAATCAGTCAACGCCGAAAGGCGTGACCGAACGTGAAAGACGCCCATATCAATTTGACCTCCACTCTAGTGATGAGTCATCAGAGGACGAGCTGACAATAGAAGATTTTGCAAACCGGCCCTCAAAGAGACAGAAAGTCACGCCAAATGCCAGCCAGAATCAATCCAAACGAGCGACCTGGAAACATGGACTACAAAAGGGAAATGTCCCCGGTAGGGTGCCCGATAGCAGCAAGTGCGAACGATGTTTCATCAACAACAAAACCTGTGATGGTGAAAGACCATGCAAACACTGCAAAGACCTCGGCCTCGGGCCAAGTTGCAAAGATCAAACCGCGTATGCGAAGTCTCTCATACCGAAAGAAAATCAGGACCTGCCAGACCGTGCGAGGCTAGTTCAGGGAGAGCAACCTCGTAAATGCCGAAGGTGTTTTAAATCCGGAGGCAGGTGTATACATCCTCCCGGAGAGGAGAAGTGCGGGAACTGCACCAAAAACAAGGCCACCTGCACATACGACTACGACCCTGAGGAGACTAAGCCCACCAGGAACCTTACGAGAGATGATGATATCTGCCAGCCTTGCCGCAAGGCACACCGAAACTCCTGCGATAACAAGACGCCATGCAACAACTGCAAGAGAATCAACGCTGTCGAGGAATGCATCCCGTATACTAGAAAAATAGGCGTACCTACAGAAGAAAAATGCATGAGGTGCAAGGTGCAACGCCGCCGCTGTGATGGGAAAATTCCATGCAATAGATGCACTGAAAAGGGAGAAAAATGTGAACCCCAGGATGCCTGGAACAAAGATATTGGAAAATGTGACCCATGCAAGCACTTAAGGGTCACCTGTGACAAGAACTTCCCATGCGGTGCGTGCACCAAGAAAAAACGCAAATGTGTCAGACAATCGGAACAGGGCCTTCGGAAAGACTCAGCAGACACCGACCCAAAGAGGTTCACAAACCTCGAAGAGGATTCCGACAAGTGTACCCGCTGTATCCGAAGTCATCACGACTGCGACGGCAACTACCCCTGCAACTATTGCGTGCGAAGCGGCATGAAGGGAAGCGATCGTAGCGGATGTATCTACAATCTGCGTGACAATAAACAAGTGTCTTATAATGCGCGATGTTACACAATCGTTGACGGTAAGGTCCAGCTAAGAGACGACTGGGAGGCAATAGCGGACGAGTGCTTTCACAGACGGCCTCGAAACCAGGAACACACAACGAACAAGGAAACTGAACAAGAGGACCTCGAGTCGGCAATCGAGTCGGCACACCAAGATCTACGCGATGAAATCCAAACAGAACTTCAACTGGACCCGGATAACCCAGAAAACCCGCAACTCATTTCAGACGCCGCTCTGGCCAGACTACAACAGAATGAAGAGGATGGGGCCCAAGATCCGATGATAATCAAGGCACTTAGGCAACGATTTCAGATAAAGCGAAACAAGGATCAGGATCCACAGGCTGGTCAACCCCGGAAACCGTGGGATGACTTGGACGACGACACCGATGAGGAAGCTCTCGATGACTTTGACCACCTACTAGAAGACGTTGACGACGATCATGGAATAGCTATGCTAACTACAAGAGATGTCAGGTTCGCACCTGTTCCAACCACATATGAAAGCGCCATTCGAGGGCAAGAAGGGCCACTCTGGAAAGCAGCCATACAGTCGGAATACGACAGCCTCATCGACAATCAGACCTGGATACCGACGGACCTGCCTACAGGACGAAGACCTCTTACTACCAAATGGGTCCTCAAACGTAAAATCGGTGCAGACGGAAACATTAGCCGATACAAGGCAAGGTTAGTAGTACGAGGATTCCAACAACGAGAAGGCATTGACTTCAACGAGGTGTTTGCCTCGGTGGTCAAGCCAACCACCTGGAGACTGCTGTTTGTCATGGCCATCTTCTTCAGATGGGCGTACATGCAATTCGACGTAAAGACAGCATTCCTTAATGGAAATCTCAACGAAGATATCTATATAACAGCTCCTCCTGGGTACCCGGAAAAACAAGGAAAGGTCCTACACTTACGAAAGGCTCTATACGGTCTAAAGCAAGCGCCGAGACAATGGTACCGCAAGTTTTACGAGGAAATCAAAGCGCTCGGATGGAAGATTTCGCAATTCGACCCTTGCCTATTCATCCACGAAAACACCCAAATGTTTCTGGTTATCTACGTGGATGATATGGTAGTGTTCGCACCTACCAAGGATCGAATTAACGAATTCAGAAAGGCCATCTTCGACATTTTCGACATGACTAGTGACGAGGAATGTGCTTTCTTTCTTGGAACTCACATCGAAAAGAAACAACAAGGAGTAAAGCTGCACCAGCGAAATCTTATCCTACAGACCCTTGAGCGGTGGGGATTGGAAGACCTCCCACCAGTCAAAACCCCAATGGTCAAAGTGCCAGAACCGAACCAAGGAAAGATGGCATCTAAAGAGTTCATTGCTGAATACATATCAAAAGTGGGATCGCTGAATCACCCGGCACAAATTACACGGCCAGATATCACGTACGCTACCTCCGTTGTGGGGAGATTCAACGCAAACCCAAACCAAACTCATATGGATGCAGTACACAGAATCTTTGCCTACCTCAAAGGAACTCCAGACAGGGGGATCAGATACGGAGCAGTGGAAGACTTAACACTCAAAATCTTTGTGGATAGTGACTGGGGTGGTTGCCCTGAGACACATCGATCTACGACAGGCTGGGTAGCAACGCTAGGCGGAAAGCCAATCTCCTGGTCATCTCAGAGACAGAAAACAGTCGCTTTATCAACTGCAGAGGCAGAATATGTGGCGGCAGCCGAGGCTACTAAAGAAGCCGTGTGGCTAAAAGGAATCATCAACGAACTCGGAACGGCCCTAAAGATCGAATCGATTCCCCTCTACATTGACAATAACTCTGCAATGAAACTCACCAAGAATGCCGAATTTCATGCAAGAACGAAGCACATCGGCATAAAATACCACTTCATCAGAGAACTTGTGGAAGAAGGAACTGTTTCTCCAGTCCGAGTGGACACAAGCAATAACGTAGCGGACATCTTCACAAAACCACTGCCGAGACCAACATTTGAGAAACATCTCATAACATTGGGCATGATGGACAGCACGTCTGCAGCGCAAAAGGGGACCACAATGGCCCCGTTGGATCTGGATACAGCCGATGAATCGGGAGAAGAGTCGAAAATTGGCCACCCTCCCTCCCCTTCGGTTTTCTCCTCCTCCCCGGACCGGTAGGTGTGTGGGTGCCAGGGGGAGTATCACGTGATATCACGTGAGATCACGTGGAAGACGGACACTCAACACACCTCAAAACTGGAGAAGAAAAAGGGAACACGTGCAGCGCTCAGGGGGAGTGTTAAACAAGGGAAGAGCACAGGCACGTGATTACCGCATCCGGTAGTCAATACACGTGACTACCGGATGCAGCATTCTACGCACGTGACTGCCGCAAACAGTATTGAGGTGTGTTCTTTGTATGGAGAAGACTTAAATAGTGAGGCCCTCCTGGAGTTATCTGGGAAGTTCTTCATCCGTCTTTAATATATCTAAATGCACCCCATTGGTATATTCAAGTTGATACCACTAATCTGGTTCATTGCCTGCATCCAGGCGCCTAGGATCATCCTGCGGACGACGCCTGAAGGTCCTCGGCCGGTAAGAAGCTGCCACCAACTATAGGTCTGTGCGTGCTCTTTGTCCAGGACATCTTTGATGATATTGTATTGCGTGCGCACCGACGCTGACTCAGAAGTTGCTCCATGACCTTCCAGAGCAGCGAGCACTTCCAATGCCTCCTGGTGCTTGCCCTTACGAATCAGAAGACGGGGAGAGTCCGGGAGAAAGGGACACATCAACCATATCAACAGTGTAAAAACTATTTGAAGGGTCAGTTGGCAAGATGAGCTACCCAGCGATGTCAGGGAACGAAGGGAGATCCGGAACTTACAGCATTGAAAAGCGAGGGGGAACCGCCAGGCCACCGAGCTTTTAGCGAACGAGAATCCTAGAGTGAGCCAGTTGGACAGGCAAAAGCCAGTTATACAGTTGGCCATCTGAATAATGACGAGCTTGCCACGGCTCCGCATCTTGCTGGTCTCGGACTGCCAAACACCAGCAGTGGCGGTGTTCATGCCTGTCCCAAGGCCCGCGATCACCCTGCCCGCAAACATTTGCCCTCTAGAGTAGCATGCTGACTGAATAATTGCGCCCAGGGCGATGACGGAGCTCCCAAGCATAATGGTGCGTGGACGGCCGAGTTTGTCTCCCGTGTACAAAGTTGAAAGCGCCCCTCCGAAGCATCCTAGTTGAGAAATTAGTTCTCTCGTGACGGCAGATATATTTGGAGAACGAGCAACCAAGGTTATAAACTGAGGTCAAAGTCCCTTGGACGGTGGCGTCAGGATTCCCCATGGTCTTTAGGAAATCCTTCCCAACCAGACTACAGGCACTTGTTAGCCAGGATGACACAACATTGCTAGAGTGTCTAATCACTTACACATTCCCGAACACACCCTGGAGAGTAGGCATAGCGTTAGCTCCAGTGAAGAGGCTCGGGGTGGGAAAGTGAAGAGAATACCTGATCATATCCATAGAAGATGAGAACAGTTGACGCGGCTAGCGAGATCCAGACAGTCAGGGCACTTCCCGAGCCTCCCAGGTATTTGCGTCCCATTATGACTTGATCCTCGCGATTGACGAACTTCTCTTGAGAGTGTTGTCGTCTTCAATGTCGGACGAACCCTGCAAAACCCTGGATAAAGGAAGATGTTGAGTAAGAAGGGTATTCAGCGGCCGGGTCGTGCCTGAGTCAGAAACCACCATTTTTATATCGCCTTGTGCTGTCTCATCATTTTCCCTGATCGCCCACTGATCGACCGAAAGGCGTATGCAGGCTTCAATCGTCGGCAGAGCGGACGGCGAAAGACGTATCTGTCGAGGGCAGGCTTCCAATAGCCTATGATCATATGGATCATGGTTGAAAATAATCCATCTTTCATCTCCACTTCGGGATGCCGTTAACAGTAATATCAAAGACCGAATCATCACAATTGGATCGCGGAGAGGATCGACCCTCCACGCGGGGGTGGGTTCCTCTCCAAATCAAGGCTGTTGGAGTTGGGTCGCTGGTACGGAGTCCCTGTATGCTGCCGCTCATGAGACTCAAGAAGGCGGTCACGTTCAAGTCCTACATCTGCAGCTCCGCACCGCTGTGACCATACGATGATGGCATCTTGATGGTAGGGAGGCTTTGGCAGCATATTCGGTGTGCCTTGTGAGGGAACCCTGGACTTTGGATACTGCCATAAGAAAATGGTCGTTGGACTTGCTCCAAAGCAATATTTGGAGAGGCGGCAAGGAGATGGCAATGGCATGCCTTTCTCCTTCGTTCCGACGGCATACCGATGCAAGGCAAACCCTAAGGGAATCTTCGACAAAGAGGATTGGTGAGAAACTACGTTGGTTACATCGGTGGGACCACGCCCAGCAGGGGTTGGAATGTAAAGTAATGATCTTCAGGCATGGTCCTCGAACGGAATAGCCTCGAGCTCTGCAAACAAGATAGAAGGTCAGAAAATGGAAGTGTAAACATGACGCATGATGTCGGGCGTGTTCGGCAGTGGCGCCGTGAAAGGCGGAAAGGCGGAATCAAGGCCGTGGACTATGCTGTATACAAGCAGGCCCAAGGGAAGAAAGATAGGGCTCAGAGCTGGGGAATTTAGGCAAAATTAATCGCATTGAATTGTGAGCAGTTTCATCCAGAAGTCAAAGTCAAAGATGCAAGTTGAATGCAAAGAATCGAAATTCAAAAGCAGAAAGTGCGACTCGGCGTTTGCTCGGCGCGTTCCTTTCCAGCCGCACAGAACACGTGAGCGTTGCGTGCCATTTCCCACACCCAGGTACCTGTCGCTAAAGCCTAATCCCCATCGCCGCCGCCCTTCATCTGCTCACAATGCTCACAATTTGTCCACTTTACTCGGATAGCAATATGAATCCGCTGGAAACGCTGGTTAGCAGGCACCGAGATTGAACGACCGCGAAACCACCAAGAACCTGGGGACATTTCGATGATGGGAAGACCTACAAGACGCGTCTCCGCCTTGAAGGCGAATCTGATGCACACGCAAACCCCTGAAGTCAGAACCCTGAGGGAAGAAGGACTCGTCTAGAACGCGTAGTTAGTATGAAACAGAGCTCGGGACCACTACCTCGTCTGACTCGGAACATCGATGGCGATACTCACCTATCTCGAGGCCGCCGTTGGGGTCGACGTCGACTTTGGCCATCCAAGCGCCGACACCATCGGGGTAGAACTGGTCGTCCCAGGCCCCGTAAAGGGAGTTGGTGAAATATATACTTCTTCCCGATCTCGACACCTCAACCATTTGAGGTCCGCCCGCTAGAGGCATGTTGGGCCTCGCCGGGTGCGCCGCCCTTTGCACAATACCCCCCACCTTCACAGAGCCCACTTGAACTGGATGCGCTGGGTCAGAAACGTCATACTGCTTCATTTCTCCCGTCCCCCAGCAGGAAACATAGAGGAACTTGTCATCGACCGACAGGTCAATGTCTGTGATTAGCGGCGGGACGGCTTTGAACGGCTTGAGTATCGGGGGCAATGATTCTTCGTCGGCAGGCTCCGCTGGAACGGTGATGACCTTTTCTGCGTTCCACTCATCACCGTCCTGGAACCATCGGAAAATGGAACCAGACAAGTCCTTTGTTGAAATAACGACCCCGACAAACCCCCATGTCGCTTCTGGATCATGCGATGGTCGGACTTCGAGCGCCATTTGGTGTTCTTCACCTAGGTCAACACGTTGATGGTGCTTTCCCCCGGCAAGATCCCAGAAATGAATGGCATGGCCGTACTTGTTTCCCAACAACAGTTCTGGAACAATGCCGTTCTCGATCATGGATGGGCTTCCCCATTCACTTGAAATAAGGACATTCTTGTTCAAGTGCCACCACGCGTCATAGTGGAAGTGTTGGGGACCGCGATCACTTTCCCAAGCACGCAAGACGTCGAAATTCTGGTGGTCAAGCAGAGCAATGCCGCCCGGTCCGTCAGGATTACTCTCCGGCCCCCCGAGACACGTCAAGAACACGCCGTCAGGCCCGCAATGCAATGTATGTGGACGAGAATAACCAGCTTTATCCGACAATGTCTTCCCGTCGATCGTTTTGACGAGCTTCGGTGAGCGAGGGTTAGGGCCGATATCGAAGACATATATGTTCGAAGAGCGCAAGCCAGGGACAAGCAGGTAACGTCGTCGCAAGCCGTCCATGTTGTGTCCCTCGTGTTTGAGGGCAGCGGAGCACGCATTCCATCCGAAATGGTGCAATTCGTCTCCTAACCCTGGAACATCGGTCCAGCCAACAACCTGTCCGTAGGTTGTCCCGGGTTTCAAATCAATGACGGTCAACGCATCATGTTTCTGACCTTTTCTGTCAAAGGCCACCACATATGCCAATTCTTCGGGAGGTGCAGCGATTGCCTCAGCTGCAGTGCGGTAGAAAGTGGGATCCATTTCTGTTTGTACGGGGACCCGAGTTGGAGTCTCTCGAGATGCTTTCTGCAAATTGAAATCAAGTTCGAAAGCACAAAAACTCCCAGACCGCAAGCTCCGGATCTTCGGGGTGTATATAGGGCTTTGCTCAAATGCTACCAGAGCGAGCGCTCACAGTTAGGCCACCTCGAGGAAACCGAGCAACGAATTGGTTCGACCAATTCCCCGATACACCGAGCTTACAAGTCTGTCATCCTTGTGCCCTGAATGACAGTTTATTTCCTGTTGGCGTTATGGCAAACCCGATGAGAGAACCTCCAGTGGGAAGTTAGGCCAGGGCGTCAAAATCGCAGGTCAGCACTACCAATCCAAGGAGACGTCGCCGCAAGGGCGTGAAGTGCAGGCGACTCTCATAACTCGGTAAGAGATACCCCAGCTTGTGTCACCGTAAGTTCGTGGGATACGACTTGTCACGGCCATTCAAGCACTCGCTCTTCGCGAGTGGCTGTCGCAAGTTTTTATATGTCACACCATCCGGCAGTCCTAGTCGCCAAGGACCTCAGTCAACGATGGTGCAAGAACCGTCAGCAATGGCGCGATGAAGGGGGTCTCGAGATCGCCGAACGAAGAGAAAGACCTGTTACCGCAATGCCGTCCACCCCCGCTCGATACCCCGTGTGAGGAGTCTTCCAAGAAGTGTGGCTACCTGTAAAGCTCGAAGTAAGCATCTCAGATTGGATTAGTCACTACGCTGTCCAATGGCTTCACTTCTTACTATGTCAGAGCCAATCAGCCTGGTCTCCTGCATATGGCGAATCGCTCCCAGAACACTCTCTGACCTTTGCAGAGTGGCCCTATCTACGGTGCTGACAACAGTGATTCAAGTGTGCAAATCCCAATTGTTATGATGGAACTGCCCCAAAAAAGGCCAATTGTGCGTATGGAACTGGGAACTCTGGTGTTCCCAGGCCGTCGATTATGATAACTCCATGGGATATGATTCTTGGTACATACATCCAAATGCTCCCTCTCATCACGCTCACGATCCGTCCCCGGAATAAGCCTGTGTCTCGACGCCAAAATCTCTCAATTTTTCGTCTTCTGAAAATCCAATCGGTCGTCTCTTCTCACTGCCCCGGCTCGTCGACTTGCACTCCTGCCTGTAGTCATCTATTTCCAACCACTGATCTTCATGGTTCCATTCTCCACTAAATTCTTATGCATATCGAAAGAGTTGAAGAGCAAGTGCGGCTCGTGACCCATACCTTTCTTCAAGCACTCGTACTCGGCCCTGTCGAAGTAATCCTGGAGAATGGGCCGGTAGTCGGGATGGGCGCACTGCTTGATAATCTCGCGGGCTCTTTCGCGAGGACACATTCCTCGCACGTCTGCAAGGCCCTATTATTGTCCTTCCGTCAGTTTTTACACAAACCTGACACCGCACCGTGCCGCTACTGTAGTCTGGGGAGAGGGAGATGACTTACGATTTCAGTCACGACAACGTCCAGATCGTGCTCTGTCTGGTCGACGTGTGTGCACATTGGCACAATGCAACTCACGCCGGTAGGGTCGGTTTTCGAAGGTCGCGTGCTGGGCGTATGCATGATGGAGTATTTGGATGAACGGAGGAAGTCTGCGGATCCGCCCAGGCCGTTAAGCATGCGCGAGCCCAACACGCACGTACTGTTGGCGTGAGCGTAGATGTCGACTTCGACGGGCGTGTTCATGCCGATCACGCCGAGCCGGCGGATGATTTCAGGTGAGTTGGACACTTGCTGGGACCGGAGGATGAGTTTGGAGTGATAATTCTCCCACTATTTCCATTCAATTCGCCAGGTTTTTCTCATCAGCACTCCAGGGCATGATCCAAAAAGGTGGGGGCGTGGGGCCTCAAACACGTGTGGGTGAGTAACAAGAGACTTACACCATCGTAAAAGCGTTGGAACCCCCCGGGAGAGAAACGAATAGAGGTCGCGGTGGCAAAGTCCAGGTTTCCACTGTCGAAGAGGTCGAGGAAGGAATCCTGCAACACTTCCGTCCAGACTTTCAGGTTCTTGAAGTTTGCTCCTCCTTTCTGAAGAATAGGTCAGCAGCGAATCCGGATTCGAGGAAGCTCTTTATTTTCATCTATACACGGGAGAGCCAAAAAGATGTGCTTACAGCCAGGCCGCCGATAACAGCGTTTGCAATGTTGCCAATCCCAGACTGCAGAGGCAGCAGATTCACCGGCAATCGCCCGTGTTTGACCTCGTGTTCCAAGAACTCGATCAAGTTGCGGGCAATGGCTTGCGAGGTCTCATCTTCGGGCGCATTTTCGGTTGTTTGGTCCGGGTAGTCGGACTCGACGAGGGCGACCACGCGCTCCGGGTCGATGGGGATATGCGGCGTGCCAATACGGTCCTCTGGTGCCATGATCAGGTATGGCTATGGCGAGCCGTCGTCAGCTGGGAAGATGTGGTGCGAAGGGGTCGTTGGAACTTGCCTTTCTCCGTGGGGGGAGGTCAGTCATTGTAATGTCGTGTAGACCTTCGAAGCTGGGTACAGCAGTGTTGAGTTCGATGATGATCTGATGAGGAGCAAACAGGTTAGCCGGCCATTCAGGGCGCACGATTCTACGGGCGCTTTCTCCTTCGTACCTTGTCCGCCATCTGAATGATCTCAGGAGACGCGCCCACACTGGCGCCCGGAATAATGCCCCCGTCCTCGGTGATGGCAGAGGCCTCAATGATGGCGACGTCCAGGCGATTGTTGGCCTTGTGCTTGGTGTAGAAGCCGTACATCAGGTCGACGGGGAACATGCTGAGATGCTTGTCGAAGAACTTGATGTTGCCGTTGTTGATGCCCTTTGCGATCTCCTTGCCGACCTGGTGCGGCGCGCGGCGCTCGATCATGTTGAGTCGGGCCCATCGGTTCTCCGTCTCTGCGCCGGACGAGGCGCCCACGAAGAGGTTGTACTTCAGCTTGCCCTGCAGGCCGTTTTGCTCGACATAGTCGGCGAGAGCGGTTGGTACTTTTCTGTTTCAACCCGCGCCAATTCAACATCTGTAAGCGCGAGGCTACGTTCTCGGTAGAGGCGAATATGTGGAGATGACTTGATAGACGGGGCGGGATGAAAAATACGTACTTGGGATATCCCACGCCAGTAAAGCCTGACCAGCCGATGTATGAGTTGTGAGGGAACAAGTCGATGAGGTCTTCAGCCTTTGCCAATTTCTGCCCGTCCGTTGTCCGTTAGCCACATTTTCATTTCACTCAATTCCAAATCCCAGGCAGGGAAAGAGCTCGAAGCCACCCGGGGATCAGGCTTAGATGGACAATGGCAAAGAGCTTGAAACAGAAGAAAAGAAAAAGCTCTTTGGAAGCTCCGGCCCGAAGAAGGCAGCTGGGCGGTTAACGCCCCGTTACGCACATTCAGGTAGCTCGCCCTTCTGCATCTACTCTTCAGGAGCGCCGAGGCGGCCATTGTGGAGTGTAAGGAGGACCGGGAGGGAGAGGGGGCCTTGGAAAGAAAACGAATACAAGAAAGAAACGAAAAGAGGGAAAATAAATGAATGGACAACGAGGTGAGAGGAGAACGAGACGAGCGACGAGATCGGAGAGTGACGAAAGGGAGCTTTCAGCAACCCCTCGAGAGGTACCACCTATGTATGTACAATAGGTCGTCCCTTTCTTCTCGTCAACTATCTTCGCCGTGGGATTGTTGGCTTCTTTTTCGTTCGTCTAATCAATGGCAAAAAAAAAAAAACAAAATCACGATCTCGTGAGGTCGAAAAAGGTCGTTTCTGGCAGGAGCTTCAATGTGTCGGGAGGAAGCCCAGAGCAAGCCGTTGTTTCGTCATTGGGTCTGATGTTCTCCCAAGCTCCCCGCTGGGGGCCGCCGTCGGACTCGTTCGGATACGAGGGATGAGGGCGTGATTGCTTTGTTTGGACATAGTGCATGTTGGCGAGCTAGCGAGGCTAAGTACGGAGTCCCCTCGTAAGTTAGACGGGGCTTACTCGTACAGGAGGAGATCTTCCGCTCCTTCGTTCGGCGTCTTTACAAAGGAAACTGGGGGGAATCTGTCCCAATAATGGCGCATTACACCACGTCCCCATGCTGAAATACAACCACCACATACAGCAACATGGCACCACATGATCTCAGCTCGAGTATCATCCTCCGAACCATCTCCGCGTTTGTTCTCGATCCCATTTCAACTGGCTGCTCAACTTGCTCCCTCCAGCGACTCCTCCCCCACCGCTTTACAAGATTGCCTCATAGATCCCGAACCCTCTTTCCAACAATTTCAGATTCCCAAAAGAATAAAGGAAAAAAAAAAGAGGGAAAAGAACCTCATTCTTTCCATTGATCCGTCGGTCAGTAGTTGAGCCAAATTCGCCTGCCGCTGGCTCAACACCCAATCCCCCTGACGCCAATACGTACTAGGTGCTCTGCAGCTGTTCCAGGTATCTGAGACCTTCTCAAAGTAGGTGCCCTCGTTGACTTGGCCTCATTTGAAGAATAAAGGCTCGGGTAGGTGCTCATATGTGATATCCTCCCATGGGTCATCCGGGTCTGCCTCTGCCACATTTCCCATACATGCCCGGTCAAACACTTTCTCACCCACATTGATTCCCCCAGGAACCACCCGAATCAGCCTGACTTGGGAGCGATCGGACGAAGACTTCATTCTCTTTTCCAAGTCCATGAAGTACGCGCAACATCCTTCGTGGGAGAGCGCGACCAGGTTCTCGGGCAGGTCCTTCTCGGGCCTCGACCCGGCGAATATTTGCACCGAGTTTTGCAGCCGCACGGCATCAGGGGCGTTCCACACGTTGCCGTACACGAGCTTGAAATGCATCGTCCAGTGCAACCCGCGAGCCGCCATTCTCCTCGACACCTGACTCTGATAGAAACTGTAGATGCCTGATCTGGTGGGAAACAGTCGAGCCGATACCGCCATCCGGGCAAGGGCCAGACCGAGCGAGATGACCGTCTCGACCAAGACCGCCAGACAGTATCCGTGACCCGGGGGAACGCCTTCCTTGTCCTTTTCCACCTCGTCCTTGGACGTGCAAATGCCGCAGTGGCAAGCTCTCCTGATCTTGTTCAAGTTCTCCACATAAGAGGCTGAGGCGTCCTCATGAGACAGTTTCAACGAGCGTTCCATGCGGCCTTGGAATCGGCGCAGTTCCGGCAGCCAGTTTGTGATTGTTTCAATGAGGCCGGCACCGTACGAGTCGGTGTTGCTCTGGTTTTGGACGGACACCAATTGACCGTGCTCCTCGTGTCCTTTGCCATGCGCCAGACCCTCGAACATGCGCGCTGCACTGCCGATCATTGTCCCGAAAGCCTTGGATTCGTCATGGTCGAGATGATGGAAACTCTTGCCAAACACCCGAGGGAGCAGTGATTGCCACGCAACCCGACCCCCGAACCTCGCGGTGTGGAGAGTCGCTGAGTAAGTCCGGTCGATCAGGGACAGGTCTTCGACAGCTGGTTCGGTTGGCTTCCATGGTTCGAATGAGGCTTTGATGCCCGTTTCCGGCACAAACACCAGAGTAACCTGGGGCTGTTGGTCTGGGTGGGTGACGCGGAGTTCCTTTCCATCCTTCTGATAGACGACTATTCGCAGGTCGCACAACCATTCAGCGATTGCTGCGAACCACGATATAATGGCACTACCCACGAGCGTAACCTGCTTCTCTTCCCCCTTTGTGACGCGCATCAACGCCTGCAGCGCTTCGGCGATCATGCTCGGCGGGAAGACATCATCAATGCTCTTGACACGCGCCCCTGGGTAGAGGATGGGGTATGGGTCGATTTGAAGATAGTCCTCGACCAGCAGCCCGAAGTCCGACGTAGCGAATATGCCGTTACAACCGTGCAGAGCAGCTTTCCATTGACCGAAATGGGGTGTCACATCCTCAGGGCCCGCCGCCGCATTTGCCAGCGCCATGAGGACTCTAGCACCGTAAGGTTCGTGAAAGCTCTCTCCCAACGCAATCATCATGGCAAGATGCTCGTAGGAGCCCTCGTGCACGGCCTGGTCGCGAATGACGTTGGATAGACCCCAGCCGAAGGACAGTTTCTCACCCGGAGCCACTGACACATGGACGGGAAGATTACTGAGCGCGTTGTTAATGTTTCTCTGACCCTGCACGGATATATTCAGGTCTCGGAAGAGCCTGTAGGCAACGTAGCGAGTGTAGGGATCTACTCGAGATCCTGAGAATTTGCGGAGGGTGGCTGAAGGGATCGAAATGGCCTCAGGCACATCTTTGTCGATGATAGGCATCCTGGAACGGGGGTTCTCAGTCCTTGAGAGGCGGCTTGAGGAGTTCAATCCTGCAATCCCATGCTCCTCGCGAGCGGAAAGACAGAGTTCTAGAGATATAGATAAACGGCTGCCATGCGAGGGCCATGCAGGAAGCACCGAGCCCACAAGTCTTGTCTTGGCTCTTGGACCCCCCAGATCGTGTGATACTCCTACCGAGTAATAGATCCAGCCCAGATGAGGATACGGCTCAGTGACTCAGCAACCCAAAGTCTCGCCTCAGATGCAGCCCTATTGGCCCTTGAGCCTGTTGCAAGCCCAAAGTGCGGGGTTTGGCCTGGTCAGCCTGGTAAAGCTGTGGTCATTGCAGCAGACAAGGGTGCCACGACGAGATTCCATTAAAGAGAGCTGGAAGGTCACTGTGTTCAATGGACCAAACCGCTCTTTCATAATGCCGTCCAACAAAGGCTGCTTCAAGACGACAGTCAGTTATCGACTGCGTTCCAGTTGCCTACTCGTCGTGTCGATGGTTCGAAGGAACAGCGCGAGTCCGTCTCTTCTTCTAGATGAACTAATTGCTTGGACGGGGCAAAGACGGGGCCACTACCTCAAAAATCGACACCTTGATCAGTCCCCAAGCGCGCGTCATTCCTCACCAGCTCAGCTGAATCCCAATCGCTCCATACCTCTTACACAACCCCTCAAGTGACAGCCAAGACCGGACAGGTGACGCAAGGCTGGGATGGAGGGGTCGCTAGGGCAGGTCCCCATGCATCGCTTGCGGATTCCAGGAATGCCTAAATTCTTTCATATAGGTAGGTGCTTAGCACTGCTTCTGAGTCCTTGAGGCAGATTTTACCTCGATTCAGCTCGAAGGCCACACAGGCTGAGCCCAGATCAAGATGTCGGACAAGGTGCGAGTTTGGCCACCAGTCGACTTGATCGAGGGACTCGCTAGTCATCCAATCAGGGTTGAAATGCTTTCCTGTCCTTGCTGGATAATGTACTGCATGCCAGAGACCGCCCGGCGACTCGGGAACACGATTCTGCGACAAGTGCTGGCCCTTTTTGTGGCTCTAAAGTAAGCGGTAGTAGTATTAGACCGGCCGAAACAACGCATGGGCAAGTCTCACACATAGCGCAGGGTCAAGGACAAAACTGATGCATCGACAAACAAACCTATTGGGAAAAACTGGATTGCTTCAATGGGGCTTCAAGCCATGAGGGATGCGAGGGGTGAGATATAATTGTGCAATCTGATATGTCGATGTACTTGTCCCGGGAAGCAGCAGTGCGAGTTATTCAAAGAGAGCCAGTGAAACGCCATGTACTATTAAAGAAGTCGAGGTCTTGTAAATTTCAAACTGCTTCTCGGATAGACTCCTTGCTGCAACTGAGGTTCACTTTGCGACTAGAGTATCAACTTAGAAGGACCGGGTGGCGTGAGACCCTTCAACCCGAGTGAGGTTCGGTAAGCATGTTCAGGCAGCCTCCCCCTCTTGATCGAGAGTCGTACTTTTCTGTTCCACAATCTCCGCCGTCACGCGGACAGATTGGCATTGATAGTGTCTCCATTTCCGCATGGGCAAATTGAGGGCGTACATTTCGTCAACTTCGACCACTGTGCGAGCTGCGGTTTCTGGAATGTAAAAATATGCCCAGACGACGGTGATCAACACGCAGGCGGCGAAGATGAAGGCAGCCTTGGCTCCAAGATTTGCGGCGTCGGCCGACGTCAGCTGAGGAACGGCGAACGTCGTGATCACGGCCGTCACGTAGGACCAGAACATCGACCATGCCACCGTGGGCTCTCGGAGGGCTGGCGTCGCGATCTCTGTAGGGAGGACAAATGCCCTGGAAACGCACATATTAGCATAAAAGCTGGAAGAGAAAGCGTAGCCTGGGAACGGGTCATCTTACAGAGATTGGAAGGAGACGGCATTGGCAAAGGCAAAAACGATGAACACCGAAGCAAGGCCCAATCTCTGGCCGTTCGTCTTCAGCCCGGCGGCTGCAAGACTTCCAGCGGCTAGGTCGAGGGCGAAGAGGATCGAGAAGCCGATGAGCGCCACGGGTCTCCGGCCAGCTTTGTCGACTAGTGTAGGTCCGATGATAGTCCCTAGAAATTGCAGGCAGGTGATGATGATGGTCATCTGGAAAGGGTTTCCAACGCCACTCTGCACAAGGATGACTGTCGAATAAGTCCCGACTAAGATTTGTCCACCCACTTGGCTCGAGCTCAGCAAGGCTCCTGCGGTCAGAGTCCGTTTGAGGTTTGCTCGATTCAAGATGTCCCAGAATCTGGTTCGCTTTCGCATTTCGGCTTCTTCGGCAACGGATACTCGGTATATGGATATCTCGGCCTCGACAATGTCTGATTGCTTGTTGCGGATGGCCATAAGGACACGCCGTGCGGCGTCAATTTTGCCATGCTGGACATACCAGAGTGGTGATTCAGGGCATAGCATCGTCAGACAGCCAAAGGCAACGGGACAGGCCGCTTGGACGGCCAGAGGAATTTTGTACTGTCGCTCGTCGTTGATTTTCTCGCTCGCCCAAACAATAGTCGTAGCAAGGATTGCTATGGCGCCTACTCCAGCGATGCAAAACCCAACCGCCCTGCCACGCACATGGGCAGGGACAAGTTCGGCAAGGTAAAGTGGAGCGGTAGTCGTCAAGATACTGATTCCAACGTCTAAAAAGGCCAGTCAGACCGTTACAGGGGACAGGGAAATGGATTGACGCTCACAATTCCAAAACCTGCCTACCGTAAGACCGCCAATATTGGGCGCAAACAGCTGAAGAAACGAGCCAGGAGCGGAAAGCAAGAAGTAAGCTGCAATGAATGTTCTTTTCCGGCCGAAATACTTCATCGTGGGTGATGCCACAAAGGTTCCCATGGCTGCGCCTACGAGGGGAACTGTGACAAGCACATCGAGATTTCGGGCCTTGAATTAACACAACCACGTTAGTTCTGCACAGTACTGTTAAGAGATCGTGACTCACTGTGAAAGCCACTCCAGGACCTTGATATCTCTGTATGAATAGAGGCAACGACAAAAGTGGAGCGACGAAGTTGTTGTCGTAACCATAAAGGCCCATGGAAAGACCGACGATTATCACTGGGCATGTCATGTTAGTTGGGATCTCTGACCAGATGAGCCCGAGTACCAAGAGGCAAGACTCACTATAAACGACAACCCGCCAATTCCACCAACCCGTCGGATGATGGATATGGCGATCAATTGTGGCCGCATCCTGGGTGACTTCGGAAACATGTTCCTGGTGCATTGCTGCCTCGTCTTTGGTCACGAACAAAGCCATCGCTGTGGGAGCGAGAGAAATTAGTGGTGCAGGAACATGGAAAGAATTGGTCTGAGGGTTCAGATGGAACCGTGTCTGCTATATAGAGTGATATCCACTGGCTCTCGCCCAGGGTTAGACGAGGTCTCTTAGGTGAACTATGACTATCCAGCCCATCCCCATGGGGAATTTCATGGTGGGATGGGGGAAAGGACAATCTTAATGGAGCGGGCGGTTTGGACCAATGTCCAATGGGGTCATGGTAGAAAAGAGACTTGGACATTGGTGTTCAGCCTTTCAAGATTCGAAGAGCTGACAAATGGCGACTGTCACTAAGCCGCTTGGAGAATTTCTCCAGATTTGGAATTCCCCAAATGCATCAAACGCATCCTCCCTTCTGACCCAGCGGGGATCAGCACCCGCGACTGGGGTGGCGGGATGATGGGAATGAAAAGAACAGACGATTTCCCGCTGGACCGGTTTGTTCCCCAGAGCGAATCGAAAGATGGCTGCAGTTTCAGTCACCGGGACAGCTGGTATCCAGGATCCCTCTACTTTCCACGAGCAGGATGTCTCAGCGTCACCAGACCTGCAGCGACTCTGCAGGGCGCTGGGGATGAACCCTGACCCCGCGAACAAACTTCAAATCCCAAACTTCAATTTCTTACAGGTGCGGAAGCGTCATGACCAGTGACAGAGAAGACAGAGGGCAACACTGACTCGGGTATAGGAAATGGCAAAGTTGCCCACTGACTTGACCGCAATACCCCGGGGAACCGACGTCCAGGCCATGCGCCACTGGATCGACAATGTTTTCTTGAAAGGACCCCTCGCCGAATATCGAGCTAGGTGTGACATCCAACGCCGACGATCAGGAACCAGGATATATATAAAGGAAGTATCCGTGCAATGCTCAGATGGGAGCCAAGACACATTCAACATACGTGTGTATGAGCCCCAGATTGAAGAGACGATATCAAAGCGGCAGTTGAGACCTGCAATACTCATGCTCCACGGTGGCGGCTGGATACATGGGAATTCTCGTGGTGACGAAAGTCAGTAGTGACCATGTGCAAGCTGTGGCAGCTGCGCCCGAAACTGACAGTAATAACAGCTGTATCGACACTATTTGCGACCGAGCTGGGTGCCGTCGTTCTGGGCGTCGACTATAGGCTTGCGCCAGAGCATCCATTTCCAGCCCCTCTGGAGGATTGCAGCGAGGCGATTGCGTGGGTACGTAATTCTCTCACCTGAAACCCAACGTGAGTTGAAGGCTAATGAAGCTTCTTGGAGACAATCCGTAATGCAGAAACATATCAAATTGATACCTCCCGCATAGCACTATGGGGTGCTTCCGCAGGGGGGAATCTTGCGGCTGCGGTTAGCATTAAACATTCCCGGGAGCGTTCGATGACCGGATATCCCAGTCTCCGGTTGGTGAATCTTGTGGTACCTGTTACTGCACACCCAAAAGCACAAGCTGCGTTCAACAAACGACGGCTTTGCGAAAGGAGCAGGGTCGAGGAAACAGTTGCAGATGTGCCGCCGGCTCCGGAGCCAGTGGTCAAGGAATTCGAAACATTATATGGTATGTCGCACATGTACCGTAGACTGCGTCAACGAGACAACCGACTGACCGTCCCGTTTTAAGAGCTCTATGTCGGCAATTCGACTGACATATACGATCATCTTGCATCTCCTCTGATGGCCCAAGACATTTCACAACATCCCAAAACTCACATCACAGTTGCTGCCTGCGACTATTTGATGCACCAAGGTCTGGCGTATGCACAGCTTCTTCGCTCCTTTGGCACACACGTCACGGAAGAGATTCTTGCTGGCGTCCCACATGGGTTCACTTTTCCAATGAACGCAGCTGTGACGAAGAAGTGGCTTGAGAACCAGAGAGACATCTTCATGGCAGCATTTAGCAGTGCAGACGCCTGATTCGTTGGAGAATACGCAGCGATTCTCGTATCAGCTAGTTTCGTTCAGGAGATATCAATAAATCTGTTGATCAGGTCTGGCGAATTGCAGTCATTGTTCTCTCTCACATCATCCTGCGTTGAGGGCTGCCGGGAATCGCCGTGAGATCCCAAGATGCCAACATTCAAACGCCCAATTTGCATCGCCGTCTGTGCCTGAATGGTCGAGCTCTGATCTTCGTAGTGCTGCCGTGAACTCATTGGTAAAGGTACGGTTGATATCAAAGGCATGACCGCCTCAGCAAGCCGAGGTGCAAAAATCTTCTCATGATCCTCCTTAATGACAGCGCCCGTGAGGCCTCCTAGGATGTATTGACACCTACCTCCTCCTGCTAAAAGGTAGATGTTCTGTGCAAGGCCAGATAGTTTCCCCAGGCCGACGATTCGTAGTTCGCCTTCTCCCAGTAAGCAAATCCAGGACATGGCTGCAAGACCTAGCAATTCGACTGATTGCTGTAATCTCGGCGAGATCCCATGGCCATGTCTAAGATCAGCGACAAGTTTTGTTGACAGCTGCCATTGCCGCGTAATAACCACATCGGCTGCTTGGATGCGGGAGTATCGATGGCGTTTAAAAACTGCCCCAAATAGCGTTGCCATGTCAGCCTCAGACTCGACAACTATTTCCTCGAATGCTCCTGCATCCTCGGCCATGTGTATCTCAGTGAGGCGCCCCAATAAGTGCATAGCAACTCTGTCGGATTCATCAGTGGGCTTCACAGATTGTGGCCCCATTGGTGGTCCGTCCACGATCTTCAGTGGCCTGCGAGCCCGTCGTCGTCTGCTTTTATTTGCATATATTGCAAAAGTTGCTGCCTCAGTATTAAAGAGAACCTGCTCAATCTGTAGCTTTCTGTGCCGGTCTTCTTCATCGACAGGTTCCACCACCTCTACGAGAGAGACCGCTTCGTCCAGGTACAGGAACGCACGGTTGTGCTTTTCGAGGACGTTATAGGCGGTGAACAGAAATAAAGAGACAACCACACTATCGAGTGTGGCTGGATCAGCAAAGTCGTAACTCAGACGTGACCTCTCCACTTGGGTGATGAGCTCCGAAAGATGTGCCTTGTCTCCTGGTGCCATGCGGAATTGGCTTGCTGCGTTCACCATCCGAATGGAGTAGAGTAGCGTGCAAAATTCGGGGACGGCGCGCCAGGCTGGTTCGAGGATAAGGCGTGAGGCGAGATTGGTGTATGACAGGACCGGAAACACAACATACATCGTGTCAAAAAACTCATCGACGGCTTTCCAGATTTCGTCGCTTCTAGGAAGATCGTCACCTTGGAACACCACATCTGCTACCGAGCATAGGTTGTCGTTGAGTAAAATGATATCAGAGTCAGACATCTGAAATTCGAACGGGAGATTCTCGCGATTAAGTTCAAGTCCTCCATGGTCTGGGTTGATTGGGACATCATGGCTCGAGTAGCTACTCGGCTCCGGTTCTGCAAGGATCCGAATTGTCTCATCAAGAGGTAGGCCTGGCGCTTGGGAGGACGGAGAGTCTAAATTAAGCAAACATCCAGAGTACGGATGAGTGGTCTCGCGAGCGTGGCTTTGTGGCGAGAGTTAGAGAGGCACATCTTATCCGGTGGGTGCTCGCCCGATTTGATGCTTACTCTTTCAGCCGTCGGCCACGTTTTGCAGGTTTCTCGTCATAAGTGCATTTCAGGCCCGCACGGAGACACTGCTTGCAAGACTCTGTAGATTGGAGCGAAGAACTTGGTGCCCGTTTCACATTTCGACACTGAGTGGCTCGATTCAGAGGAGGGTTTCAATGAGTGAGAGCCAACAAGAACTTACCTTGACTTTGAGCCTACGACATGTGTCGCAAGCTCGCCGTGTGACTGACGTAACAGCTGGGCTTGGGGACGGATGGGATTCACAGCTAGCAAAGACACCGAACATTGAGGGGCTTGGGCAACTTGTGAAGAGAGGTGAAGAACGTCGAGAGCCATCAAGCAGCCGTGACCCGAGGTATTCGTGTGTAGCACCGGCTTTAAAGCGGCGGCGCATGTAAAGTGCTCAGCCCCCGCTGAAGCGGACGGTGGCGGCAGCACCAGCAAGGCTAGTGAGCGGCCTTTCCCGGAGGCCGGCTTGCGGATTTCCTACTTGTAGACGCAACTAAAGAACTGAACTCCTTGTGTGGTCGCGTATGGCAGTAGAAAACACCATGTTAAATCTTTCGCCTGTCACTTTTGCTGGTAAGACTTCTTTGGCGATTCCGGGCCTGGAATTGTGCCCGGGCTTGGTTCCCAATCTAAGACCTGGGTTAGACAATGCCATCTGTGAACTCATTAAACAAACTCAGATCCTCGAACTCGGCAGCAAGCTTATCAGCTTGTGCTGCGTTCCAGTCTGTGACCGCACGATCCATATCCAAGACGAAACCGGCTCCACTGCCCTGAGGTCTGTTCATACTTTGATGGTTGCGAAACTCCTCCTTGATGTAATGGGCTTCCGAGCTCCTCATGGCTCCGGATTGAACTGCGATGGTAAGGAGCCCCGGAACAATCCATTGGACCATACCGAAGCAGCGACCAAGGATGTTATAGTGATAAAGACAGAGCAGGAAATAGGGGCGCCATTCAGGGTCTTCCCTTTCCTTCACAACTGCGTTGGCGACGTACATCAGAGCGATGTGCCACCAGATATTGTAGGAAGATTCGGGGTAGTTACCATAGATGAGAATGATTTGCTTGAGTTGCCTTGTAGAAGCAGCAAAGATTTCCTGCGGCAAAGACGCACCCCGAGAGAAGTAGCTGAAGCCGTGCTGGTCTTTATCTGCGATGTGGGGACGAAAAATATCCAGAATCAAACCATGAAACCAGACTCTTTAGGCCGATCAGCACATCCTTGTCCGATGAACATCTCAGAAAGTGAACTTACTGGAACACAAATACATGACTTGCAGCGCCGCTAAGGTATGACATTGTCTCGGGAAGATGGTTGGTTAAGGCCACGATCTTGCGATATTCCGACAGCGTAAACTCTAGGGTCGCA